TGGAGAACTCCTTGCTGCTTCCTTCTCCAGACCATCCAGGATCTGGGAAGCTGTGCAGGAGTTTAAAAGGCACCAGCTTGGCAGCCCTGGGTTTGCAGCAGTACAGGGTGGTGACCCCGTGTGACTGTGCAGAGGTGTGAGGGACAACTTCAGGAAACAAATTCCAGGCAGTCCCTGCTGCCTCTCATTTGTAAACTTGCTTTTTTTCCTGTGTTTTATCCAGGTGAAATCTGATTTCTGCAAGGTCAGTGAAAGGTCAGGGGGTTTTTGCCTCTCTTTTGCCTGTTTTCCCTCTCCTTTTTCTCATTCCTTGTCTGCCTTTTCTTTCTCTTTCCTTGGTCTATTTTTGTTTTGAATCTAGGTTTTTTTGGTTTTTTTAATCTAGTTTAATTTACAGGGCATCCAGATGCTGTGGTCTAGATATCTTTATAAAAACCCAATCCCTGCCTCTCAACTCTTACCCTCTTGACTTGATTACAGCAGAGTGGGCGGGTGACAAAGCCAGAGGGAACACAGAGAAAACAGAACATTGCAGCTCGGCAGAGCAGATGAACAAAAGATGTATTTATTTACGTAATAACTGAGTAAATAACATTCTGAGTTTCATTTCTTATGGGGTCCCAAAGGGCCTGAGTGAGTCAATCTTGGTCACCGCTTAGATTCACAGTGTGGTCATTTATTTTTTCAGGCAAGATGCCTTAGATAAGGTACAAAGATGTTTGCTGGATGAGGGATATTGAAAAGAAAGTCTTAAAAAAACCCTGTGAAGTTAAAGAAATGGATTTTAATGGCAGAAGAAAAGAGGAAGTGGATGCTTTGAGTAATGATGGAGTTAGTGCTGGAATTAAGTAATGAAGGAGCAGTGAAGGAATTAATGGTCTGTTCCTGAATGGAGGTGACTCCTACTCTTCTTGGAGAGGAAGGGTAAAAACCCATTGCCAAGGGTTGAGTAAAGAAATAAAGAAAATTAATATCTGGGCAGTGGTGCCCCCAGTGCCCTCAGCATTAGGTGAGCTTTATTTTCCTTCCATAGAAAGTGGAGATCCAGCCAATGCTGCCAGGGATGGTGTGGGAGGAGTATGAAGGAAAGGCTGGAAATGTTCTCTCCCCTGGATGCTCTGGCTGACAAGAGATGCACAAGTGGGGATGGTGAACCCCAGTAAAAGGTGGGGGTTTCATTGTATTAAACCTCCATGGATGTGTTCCCTGTTCCCATGTGGAATGCCTGCCACCCAAGCTAGATAAAACTCCTTCTCTACTGGGAACTGGAAAACACTTTGATGATCCTTTGGATCATAATCCTGGCCAAAAACACTAACAGAGAGTGAAACTGTGAAAATAAGTTGGGAGAAAACCTGTGCAATATCACAAGGTTGCGAGACATCCTGACACACCTTTTCCTAGAAGAGAAACTTGGGGTATTTTGTAGTCTACAGCTTATAGTGGGAAAGAGCACAGTGAAACCTCCATAAAATCATAACTCTGGATGTATGAAGCACCATAAAGAAACCAAACTAATTAGTTGAGGGCTAAGACCACACAGCCTCAGAGAAGCCTCCTCACCCTCTTTAGCAGCGTCCTCTCAATGGCTCTCACTGGAGACCAGCTTGAGCTCAGCTCTGATGAAGGCCATAACACACATGTGAGAGAAAAGGTCCTCATATTTCTGAGACTTTATTATTCCTGCTAGCTACAACAAAAACACATTTGCAGGCGCTCTATGAGGAGTTATAAATAAAGAAAATTAAACTACCATCGACCCAATGAGTACAGCTCATTTCGTGCAGTGGTTTCACTGCAAAAGCTCTCTGACTTGGTAATTGGCAAAATTTTGGTGATGTGAGGTGTGCATCACTGCTGATACCAGTAATTGGCAAGGGTGGAGGATATTATTTTAAATGGACTGACTCATTTGAAAGCATTCAAGAACTAGAATGAAGCTACACACACAAAATGAATCAACAATGATTCTCTGGATTGCCAGCTCCCCTTAGAGTCAGGCAAAAGACTTAATTTATTATATATCAAAGGCAAAAAGGGATGGGATTGTGCCCATCCTTGGTGCAGTTGTTGGCAGTCTATAATTTTATTTCCCTACATCCTGTGAAAATTGTATTTTTCCAACTAGGTGATGTCCATAGCAAAGGAGAAGGGTGAAGAGAAAGTGTCTCTACTGCAAAATGTCCAAAATAACTCTTTTTTACAAAGCCTTCTGCTTGGGTCTACTCTGGTCAGCTTGATGTTTTACCCTCAAAAATACACACCTGGCCTGTTTTACTCCCAAAAATACAAACCACCCAAAGCTTGACAGAGGCTGCAAAATGAGTTCTGTGTTTGAATCTGAACCCAGAGCCTGGTCCAAGCTCTGAGGTTTTATGCAGTACATCACCCAATGAAATTGCCTTTTCCCCTCCCCGTTTCAATTAGAAAGAACATTAGGTCAATCAGATAAAGCCACATTGGGAGGATTTCCTCTTTATGGCGCTTGCCTCTTCAATTATCTATAATGAACTTCCTCACAGCACTGCAAAGCTTTTTATATGCAAACGAACCCTGTTTTGGGGCTGCCTCAATCACGGCTCGTTAATGAACTTGAAACAAGTGTTATCGGAAAGGTTACAGCACCAGTGGTGGAGGGGGACAGGATAAAGCCACACAAGAAAGACCATGCTGGAGGGCTGGGATTGGCCTGCAGGTAGCAGAGTGGACTATCTCCATCCTCCATGCCACAGCCCCCACCAGAGGCTTTTCTCTGTGACACACATCAAATGAAATGCCCGCTCCTGGGAAACGGCTGCTCGGCGGCTGATAGGGCTTCCCCACCCTCCTGCCCCACTGATTCCCTCTGCCAGGGCATCTCTCTCTCAACTCCTGGAAAAAAAAAAAACCAAATCAAACAAGGAGAGGCTGCTGCCAATGTCTTTCCTTGTGCCAGGAGAAAGAGAGGGAGCTGAGGCAGAGGCCCCAGGATTTGTTGTGCAGGGGAAGGGAAAGGGTCAGGGGTGTTGGAGACATGAGGTCCCAAATGGTGTTTGCATCTGCTGGTGTGATCAGTAATGAAAACTCTTCAACATAGCCTGGATCACCTCCTTCTTCTGCCCTCTGGGGTTTTTATTGGTCTTAAATCAGCCAGAATTATAGATTATGCCTCCCTTTTTTGTGCTGAGTAGCTGCAGGGAGCCATAATGCTGGTGTGCCATGGTATGGTAGAACCATTGGACCCAAGCTTGGGAAGACTTCTCAGATGGTTAAACCTTGCTCTTTTATCAAGAAAAATGCTTCAGTGACACTTTACCCATTGTGTCTCAGCACTAGGAGCTCCCTGGAAAGGTTCTATCACAGAACAGAATAGCAGCAAGGACAGGGAGGGCTGGAACAGGGAGCATCTCCTCAGTCCTGCAGCCCCACGAGTGCAGAGGGTGGCAGTGATCAAACTCATCCCTTCATTGCAGTACCCCATGGGTTTTCCACCTCCAACCCTTCCTCCTTCCAGCCAGGTTAATGGGATGGCCTGTGAAGCCTTGGCAGCACGCATCAAGCCAGGCCTTGTGCCAGATTATCTCAGGCAAAGAGCCACTGGGTCCAAGGTGGTTCAGCTCCACCCAGCTCCAGGGGCTGTCCTGGTTCTGGTGCCGGCCCAGTTTAAGCCCCTCAGTGGCTCTCAGTCACTTCCACCATGAGCATCACCCTGTAAATGCAGATGAAAAATCATCTCAGGCTCCTCAGTCTGGCAGCCCCATAGGACAGATCCTCAGATCCTCTTTGGGCCTGGGGAAGGTTCTGGACTTCATTGCAGGGATGTATTGGGTGGTTACTGGATTTTCTGCCTGCCTCTGGCCAGGGATGAGCTCACATCCTCCACATGGTGAGTGTTGGCTCTGGTAATTCTGTCCCTGGTTGGTGTAACTACAGATGTTGCACATCTGATCCATTTCTTTATCTCCCTCAGCCACTTGCTTCATTAAGATGCTCCCACCATCTGCTCTAACAAGACTCCAGGCTCTCCATGAGCCATAAATTCCACTTTTGTACCCTTCAGTCCCTTTCCCTACTTTTCTGCCCTGAATCAGTAATTTTCTTCCTGCCCTTCCCCTGTCTCTGCTGGAACCAGCTGGACCTGGGTTTAACTTTGGGCAGGACAGGCAAAGGCTGCAGAATTTCCTAAAGAGCTGACATCACCCCAGAATCCATGAAAGGGACATCTTGCAGCTGTCTGACTGGGCTATGAAGAAGCAGAGCATGGCCACTCTGACTAATTAAGCTGTGCTAATTAATGAAATTTTAAATGCAGCCACCTGCTAGGCTGCTTTGGGTGCCCAGGGTTCACCTCGTGTGAGGGACCCATGAAGAAGCACCACATTAGCAAGATCCACTTGGCATTTCTCCTTTTGTGAGCCAGTGGAAAGCTTTTCCAAGAGGTCTCCATGCTTTTTGTGACCATTGTTTCTTGGCAGCTGGGTCTAAATCTCTGTAATGAATATTTTCTCATCTTCTGAGCCAAATAAATTCTCTTTTTAACAACCCTGACTCTGTAGGTTCCAACAGGTCTTGCTGGAGCTGTGCCTTTAGTACAGTGGTGTGCTGGCCATTGGGAACTGAGGAATTGTGCTCAGATTTTTGCTTTATTCACTTTTATCATGGCATTGTGACTGGGTTAAGTCTGTGGAGAGAACATGATTGCTTTTCCATTACCTGAATAAACAGAGCAGGTGTGAGAAAGCACCAGAGGTGGCTTCCCTGGGTCCTGGAGGCTGAAACAAGCCAGGGAGATAGGAAAGGATGGTGTGCAGGAAAGGAGGAAGGAAAGCAATCCTTGCTCACCTCTTTATCTGAGCCTTCCCAGGAATGCTCCTTGAATAGCTCAGTAATAAACCAAGGCCCAGGGAGCTGCCAAAGCTTTGTACCCAGGCAAACTGAGAAGGCTGGGAAGCACCACAGGACTCTTCCTGAGGCTGGGAAACCCGTGTGCTGACTTGGTTTGGTGTCTGCTCTCTCCCCAGGACTGTCCCCAGCTGCTGCAGGCCGGGAAGATCCTGGTGCCCGTGGAGGTGATCAAACCCATCACTCTGAAGGCCAAGAACCTGCCCCAGCCCCAGTCAGGCCAGCGGGGCTACGAGTGCATCCTGAACATCCAGGGCAGCGAGCAGAGGGTGCCGGCCCTGAGGTTCAACAGCTCCAGCGTGCAGTGCCAGAACACCTCGGTGAGCTGCAGGGGACACACGTGCCCACAGCACTGTCCCCAGGGGAGATGGGCTCCTCTCACAGCCCTTCTCACCTCATTCAGGGTGCTGGAGTTCTTAATCAGGAGGAAAGAAGGCTCAAGGGAGAGTTTGTTGCTCTCTAGAACCACCTGGAGGTTGTGGTGAGGTTGGGGTTTGGCTTTTCTCCCAAGCAGCTGGTGATAGGACGAGGGGAAATGGCCTCAAAATGCCAGGGGAGGTTGAGGTTGGATATTAAGAAAAATTTCTTCACTGGAAGAGTGGTTAAATGTTGAAATAGGATGAAGGCAGTGGTGAAGTCACCATTCCTGGGGGAGGTTCAGGGTGGATATTAAGAAAAAATTATTCACTTGAAGAATGGTTAAACATTAAAACAGAATGAAGGCAGTGGCGGAGTCACCATCCCTGGGAGAGTTCAAACGAGGTGCACACTTCACAATTTGGTCTAGTGGGTGCAGATTCAGTCAAAGATTGGATTTGATGATCTTGGAGGCCTTTTACAGCTTTCATGACTCTGTGGTTCCAAACACAGGCAGGAAAAGGTTGGCTGGTAGCTTGAGATGCCCTTTTTTCTCCTTGGGCTGGCTGGTGCCACCACTCAGTTGTTGCTTCTCCCCCTGGATCCCATCCTCAGCTGTGACCCACAGGCAGCAATATCAGCTTAACCTGCTCTTATTCCCACAAAAAGAGCTTCCAGTGGGACAGGTGTTGCTGTCAAGGTGAGAGTGAAGGTAATTTTGGGGGAGATCGATGATAAAACCTCATAGAAACAGTCTGACAAGTGCCAGCATGTAATGGGTCAGGAAAAAGGTGAGAACACAAAATCCCAGAATGGGTTGAGTTGAAAGAGACCTTGAAGATCATCCAGTTGAACCTTGAATCTATCATCATAACCTTGAACCTATCATCCAGTTCCAACCCCCTGCGTGGGCAGGGACGCCTTGCACTGCACCAGGTTGCACCAAATGCCATCAAAGGATGGATGGGATTAGGCTGAGTCAAACCTTCCTCCAGCCCTCACATTGCCCCCCATGTCTGTCTGTCTGTGCCCACCTCCAGTTCCCCACCTGAAGGGCAGGACCTGTGACTCTCCTTGCAAGGAACCTGTGTGAGGCATGACAGTGCTGTCACCACAGCAGTGTCACTTTTGGGGACAAACCCAGTCAGCACCCAGTGCAATGGAGGCCTCTGCTTCTCCAGGGGTTTATCCATGTCTCCAGGATATGCATTGAGTCATCTCCATTGCTGCTGCTGCGAGATGATTTATTAGTCAAAGAGCTAATTACAGGCTTTAGCCACTCCACGCTGGGCAGTGCTTGTCACAACATATTCTGCTGCATTAAGCAGGGCTGAGGACTGCAGGCACTTCACACATTTTACATCTGTTGCAAACAAGCAACTTCCCAACCGATGCTGCTCTTTTATTTGTTCCTTTGTCTCCCTCCCTCCCATCTCTCCCTGATTTCCATTACTGGTTAATGACCTGTGAGCATTCAGGTTTCAGGTTAGAAATGGACAGACTGGGAGGTTCAGGAGGGATGCACATTTTCTTTGGAGTGTTATTTTAAAAATGGTGGAAGCTGAGGGGGAATTGCATGGTGGTGGGCAGAGATTATATCTGTCCAAAGAGTCTTAGCAGGCAAGGCAGACCTTTAATGACCCTTTAGAGTCAGGAATTCTCTGGCACACGTAGGCATTCCAATGAACTATCCCATTTAAGGATTATTTAAGCATAGTTGGGCTGAGCAGGAAAGTAACCCCAGCCAGCCTCAGCATCCCACTTTGCAGAACCCAATAAAAGAGTGGTTATGACAGGTAATGGGGATTATTCCCACACTACCTGCATGCTCCAAGAAATTGCCAGTGCCTGGGACTGGAGAAGTGGGGTTTGATGAGTCCCCAGATGGATTTGTTCATAGGATGCCTGAGTGCTGTGACTGCACCATTTTGGCTTTAATGTCTGTTTTCCTAAGGCTCTGCCAGAGCTGCAGAGGGTGGCAGGGCTGAGCCTCAGGCTGGTGCCAAGGCACTCCATGACCTCACTGCTGGTGCTGTCTGCAGGAGGCTTGTCCTGTGTTTTTGGTGGCCCAGGTGGATTTAATTCTTCTCCAGGGACAGAGGCTCATTTGGGAATAAAACCAACTCTTTTCTATCCTGTTTCTGCCTATTCTCTCCCTCTGCCTTCCCCTTTCACTTGCTTTCCTCCTTTTTCCCTCTTTTTGCTTCTTTTGTCTTTCCTTTCCTCCCCTTTCCTTCTCTTGTCTTTCCTTTCCACCCCTTTTCTTTCCCTTCCTTTTGAAGGAGCTTTGACTCTCTGATTTGAGGTCTTTCTTCTTTTCTTTCTTTCTTTTTTTTTTTCCCTGAAAAATGTTATTTCATTGTTGCTTGGAATTTGCCAGACACTGAGAGAAAGAGATGTGGAAGGGAGAGACAGACAAAAGAAAGCAGCATTCAGAGAGATACAAAAAGGCAGCAGAGAAGCCCTGGCTGGTGGAGCAGGTGGCAGAGGACACAGACAATGGGGAAGGAGTGCTGGAGATCTGTCTCCATCATGATTATTTCCTTCCCTGCCAGAATTAGCATTCAGGCCGGAGCCACTGCAGCACAATGAGCCTCTGCTCCGGGGGTCACCTGGCTTTGGAAAGAGCTGTCTGAGCCTGTTTGCAAATCCAACCAACCCCCTCTGACAGAGCTTTTTACTCAGCAGAGTTGCTGGAGGAGGCACTGAATGTAGCACCTGCATTGCAGGCTTGGAGAGGGTCCAGGGGAGGGTGGGAGGATGAGCTGTGATGGTGTGTCCCTGAAGGGATGCTGTCCTGCCAGCAGATCCCTCTGTTGGTGCTACATGCTAGACTAAGCAATCAGCCCTGCCTTCTTTTCCAAGATCTGCCCTCTCCCATCTCACACGAGGCACCCAGGAGCTCAAATTTGCCTCTCACAGAAAAACGTCTGCAAAACTCAGGATTTTTTTCTACTTTCACATGGGATAGAGTCAGGGAAACAGCCTTAACTTTTGCTCTGCATCTCCTGATCCCTCAGGATTTACACCAGGGGTCAGAGGCAGCTTAAGCACCTTTTCAAAGTGGCTCCAAGTTCAGTGAAAGATGCTCTCAGGACAGCCAGGTGTGAGCAGCCTGTCTGTCAGTAATGCCACATCCAGCACTGATGATCCCTGGGTGCTCAGCCCAGTCAGGAGCCAGATCTGCCTCTCTGCCTGTCTTTCCCAGAGATATTTCATTTGATAACAGCAATAAGTCTCTGCAGGCAGCACCATTCGGGACAATTATTGTTCTTGTCAAGTGGTTTGAGACTCTCAGCTCTGGGCTTTGTCCTCTGTCACACCACCCAAGGCACACAATTATCACTCAGAGGGACCCTTCCTGCCATCCCTTATTGCACTGGTGATAGCTCTGCCAACAGCCTGGACGTGGAGGGATGGGAGGGGATGAAAAGCAGGGGAGCTGAGGAGACACAGAAATAAGGAAGTAAAAATGTCAGCAGGAAGGGCTGAAATTGCTGGATGTATCAGGGCAGAGTGCAATCTTCCCAGTGGGAAGCAATGGGAGCCCCAGCACTTGCAATCAGCCCAAAATGATCAAGGAAGAGGGAATGGGGAGGGCTGACCCACCTGAGCATGCCATGATCTGTGCCATTACCTGCTCCAGTGGCTGATCCCTCATCCTTGCTTGGTTCCTGCCCACCCCTGGCCTTGGCACACCCCGGTTGCCACCAGCAAAACCCCTGCTGGTGATTTTGTCCTGAATCCTTCTCAGCTCTGCCTGCTGTGAGACCCGAGGAGGTGCAGCTGGAAGTGCTGTGTGGCCCGGGGACAGGAGAGCAGGTCAGCTCTATTTGTCACATCATTGCACCTCAGCAAGAGATCTCGGTGGCATTTGACTCCGTGGTGTGGCTCACAGTGAAGGGAGTGATAAAAAAAAAAAATAAAAAGTTCCAATAAAAAGCAGAGCTGAGAAAAAAAAATGAGGAGCTATTCACAGAAATCATGGGAAAACACAGTTGTGGGTTGCCAAAAGACAAGCACAGGGCTGTGAATTGCAGAATCAGGGGATGGTTTGGGTTGGAAGGGATCTTGAAAATCATCTAGCTCCAAACCTCTCACTGGGAATGTCACCCTCATGCATCTACTTCTCTAATTATTATTTATCTATATTTAAATGAAAGAGAAACCCCAGTAATCACGTGGACCCTGTTTGTGGGTGATACCCAAATATAAAAATTCAGTCCCAGCTCTGGGAAGCAAAGGTGCAAGGAAACAGAATTACAGTGAGCAGGAAGTTTTCTGCCTTTGTATGGCTGGAAAATTGATGCAAGGAAAGATTAAATGGTTTCCATAGGATCATGCAAGGGGTTGATGGCAGAGCCAGGTACAGGAATCAATCCCTGGATTTGAGCTCTAATCACAAAAGTCGTGTCAGAGAAAACAGACCAACACTAAAATTCTGCTAAAATTCTGCAGAAGTTTCCCCACTATTGGACATGTTTGAGGTACAAGGAGGGATATACCATGAAGCCACTCTGGATTTATCATCCTGTGTGTGCTCAAGCCAAATTACCAAAGGGCAGGATGCTGCAAGTGGTCAGGCTTGGATTTGCAGGATTTGGATTTGCACAAACTGCAGGAGTATCTGATGCTACTGGAGAGTTTAAAAGGCAAAAATAAGGATACTTGTGAGTTCTAAACATCGCTCCTGTGAAGTGCAACAGCTCCTTCTAGTAGATTTTTGTCATTTCCTGAAGAGAGCCAGTTTGTGTTCCAGGCAGCACAGCCTTTCCTTCTCAGTCAGCTCCCCAAATTGCCCATGATTTCCTGCTTTGATGAGATTATTGTGATTAGATTCCAGACTGGTCAGACTTAGGGGTCAGATTTGCATCTTCTGGGATGCTTTGCCTGTGTTGGAGGCAGTTGTGCCAGGGAAGGTGGAGGGACAAGCCCTGATGGTATGAGCACTGCTCAGGAGCGTCCGGGAAGCTCCGCTCCCCTGGAGATCGATGCTCCAGCCCTTTTTTCTCCCCTGAAACACATTTCCATCTTATTGTCATGGCTGAGCAAGTCCTTTTCAAAGACTCCTGTTGAGTTCAGTGGGCTTTGAAGAGGGGTCACAATGAGTGAGCAGCTCCTGTGGTCTGAGGAGGACGGAGCATTTCCTCGTGGCTCCTTTGCAAATTGCTCTGTTCCGCTGCCCTGCAGCCCACACAGCACTGGATGGGGTCAGGCAGGGCCAGTGTGAGCATCCTCATCCCAGCTGGCTTCATCCCCACAGCTCTTCCATGGGATTCATCCCCTCACACCCCTTTCCAGCTCTGGATCGAGCCTGCTGGGTTAAAAAGTCTAATTTGTCTAAAAGTCACCTCCAAGGACAGATAAAAGGAAAAGGACTTCTTGGAGTCACTTGTTTCTTTAAGCAAGCCTGTAGTATTTGTTTTTTGTTAATTTTTTTTCTTTTTTTAAACAAAACAACCCCCCTTTGCTGTTACCAGTGACAGCTGAGATCTACTTTTCTGAGCTTTTATTAGGGGAAATCTTTTCTCTGTTAGTGACATGTGGTAAATAGCTTTTTTCTTTATTAATATTATTTTACTGTTGTTATTCATTGTGGAATTTCCAGCAGGTGCTGAGTGTTTATTAAGGAGACGTGCTTGGTTGGGGGATTGGCTCTGCTGGTGGCTGGGTTCTTGTGTTGTGTCAGTGGTAGCCCATTCTCATGAGGTCCCTGGAAGACTTGCTTACACTCTCTAAGTGCCTTGGCAGACTCACTTCTGAGGCGCAAAGCACATACAATACTGAACATTGCTGGAAACAGAAAATATGTACTGACACCCAGACACTTACTGAAACTTGTTTTAAAAATACATATCTATGCTTACACTAGGAAAAAAAAAAAGCCATAACTTGCTGAAATCAATGATCTCCAGTTTTTAATACCAATACTTGTCTTATGTTTTTAGAGATGAATATAGAATTTTTCAAAACTAGGTTACTTCTCACGAAGAAAAGTGAAGTTCTTGCTAAAGCGAAACAGCGAAGGTGGTGTCAAAATTACAAAACATTTCCTGGTGATTCCTTTGCAAATTGCCAGTGTGAGCATCCTCATCCCAGCTGGCTTCATCCTCAGAGCTCTTCCATGGGATTCATCCCCTCACACCCCTTTCTAGGGGGATGGATTGAGCCTGCTGGGTTAAAAAGTCTAATATGTGTTTGCCCCTGGTGCTGCAGACAGACAAGATCTAAAATCCCAGCTGAGCTCCTGCTGCTGGGATCTTCCATGGGAAGAAAGGCTCCAGAGATTCCAGCTGCCTGTCCCTTGGCACCCTGCCTAGGCTCTGCTTCCAGCTCAATCCCAAAACACACACGAGGCTCTGGTGAGGCCCTTTCTAAGACTCATTTTCTGACTTCAGGATGACCAGTTATTCTGAATATATCCCATTTTCCATTCCCAGTCAGCGTTTTCAAAGTGCTGTGCAAAGCAGGTGTTCCTGAGTGGCAGAAGTTTAATTATTCACCACTCTTCAGGCACTTCCCATTCCTGTCCCCCATCCTTGCATCCAGTGGTGTGGGTCCAGACAGCTCTGCATCATCTTGGATCTGGCAGTGCCACCCAAAATTGTCCAAAAAATGCAAATCCTGAATGAGACTGTCTACTGCAAAGGGCCTGGCTCACCTGGGCTGCTCTTTACCTCCATGGAAACCACAAATACCCATCAATTCCCTACAACTGGATCATAATCACAGCGTTTTGCAGATTAATGGCTAATTGTGTTTGGTCTGTGCAAAGAGGAATTGCTGTGCAAGCAGCTCCCACTCTGCTGTAATGGACAGAAATCACCAGTTACCATTTACTCCCCAATTATACAGCAATTAATGGATCCAGGAAAATCTACCTGCAAAGCTCAGAGCTTTGGCATCTCTGTGGATAATCACAACAGGAGTTTAAGGGATGGGGAACTCCTTAGTGACTTTTTTGGCCCAGCCAAACCAGCTTGCTGAGTTATATCTAACCTTGTAGTGGGGAGAGTATTTTCCTTTCAAAGTGGGACTTTGTCCTGCTGTGGATCCCAGTGCAGTGTGAGATCCCTGCTCTTAAAATTCTGCAGAAGTTTCCCCACTATTGGACATGTTTGAGGCACAAGGGGGGATATACCATGAAACCAGTCTGGATTTATCATCCTGAGTGTGCTCAAGCCAAATTACCAAAGGGCAGGATGCTGCAAGTGGTCAGGCATGGATATGGATTTGCACAAACTGCAGGAGTAGCTGAAGCTACTGGAGAGGGTAAATCCTATTGTTCACTGTGCTCAGCAATAGTAGCAGGCACAAAATGTTTCTCCCCTTCTTTCTTGCTCCCTTCTGTCCTTTCATCAACCATCTCCTCTCCCACCATCAGGCTTTGGCCTTTTGGTGAGGTGTTGGGTGGGAGCTGCTGATGGAGCTGGGCAGTGGGGTGAACCCTGGGTGAACTGGCTTGAGATAAATCAAAATCTAGGTGGAAAAAAGCTCTCAGCACCACGTGGAGAGGGCCTCCAGAGAGCAGCTTCCATTTCCTTGCTTGGGGTCACCTCTGTGTGCCTTGACTGCCCCTGACAAGTGTTTGTTTAATTCTGTCCAACTCTCTCAGAAGTTTTTTGCAGCTTTTTAAGACATATTTGCTGGAAACTGGATACTCCTTGTTCCAGCTGAAGCTTTTCTGGATCCAAGTAGGGAAAAGTGATTGCCTTCTGGGGTTTACACATGTAACAAGCTCTATCTGCTCCATCCCCAAAGGAGAATTGTTTGGGTCTTGGCAGCAATATGGCATTGTTGATTTACAGTCTGTTCATGATCTCCAGCAGTCCCCAGACCCTCTCCTGCAGCACTGCCCAGCCACTCCAATTTCAGAGCAGTTTGCATCAACTCCTCCTACTGAAAAAAATAGTCCCCATTTGCCAGCATTGAATTTCATTTGGTTGATTTTGGCCCAGTTCTACAATTTGTCAAGTTTGTTTTGAATTCTTAACCCTGCTGTTGGAAGTTCTTACAGCCCCTCCAGAACAGTCATGAAATCATCCAAGTCAGTAGTGAGAGTACTGAGTAATGCCAGACTCAGGACAATATTGCTTTTGAAACATCCTCCCAACTTGACATGGAATTATCTGATTTTTTTTGTTTAATGGTTTTTGCATAAACCTTATGGTGGCCTTTCTTAGGTCATATTTCCCTGGTTTGTTTATGGGGATCTGCTGTAGGATAGTAGCAAACACTCTCCTGAAATCAGGATAAATCACATCTGCTGCCTCCCCTTTATCCACAAAGTCATTAAGCCTGTCAAAAAGGAAATTAGATTGGGTTGACACAATTTGTTCTTGACAAATCTGTGCTGGCTGATTTTTATCACCTTATCATCTCGCAGGTGCTTATAAATTGATTGTTTAATAATTTGATGTACTTTCTTTCTGGAAAGCCAAGTTAGGCTGACAGGTCTATAATTAAACAGTGGCTCCATTTCCCCCTTTTTCAGGGGGTTTCCCTGATCTTGAGACTTTACTCAGCTTCCAAGAGTTCTTCAAGACATCCCTAGTGTAAATAACCTCACCTACCCTCTCAGCACCTGTGGGATACCCAGCAGAGGCACAGCTGGATGGAAGACCCAGAATATGGAATTCACACCTTAAAGTTGCTCCCAACTTGGAAAAATACTTTTCAAAGCTGTGCTCTATGCCCAAAAAATGGATTTCAAAGTTAAGGCCCATCACATGCAAACACACTTAGATCATGGAATATTTTTCTGACTGATAGGCCAAGAGGGAGTGGCTCTAAGTTAAAGAAAGTTTCAGATCAGATATTAGGAAGGAATTTTTGGCTGTGAGGCTCTGGTTGTCCAGAGCAGCTGTGGCTGCCCCTGGATCCCTGGCAGTCCCCAAGGCCAGGCTGGACAGGGCTTGGAGCAACCTGAGATAGTGGAAGGTGTCCCTGCCAGTGGCAGGGGTGGAACTGGATGATCTTTAAGGTCCTTTCCATCCCCATTGTGGGATTCTATGAATGTTCACCTAATGGATAAATGGATTTTTATGAGGGGCATGGTTGGAGCTCCACAGCTTTGGGAGGATCCCATTGCATTCTGGCAGGTACTGCTGATTAGGGAGGTGAGTGACAGCTCCATTTCTCTTGTTCTCCATGCTCAGCACCACCCCTTGCCTCATCCCATCCCCTCCCCACCTCCAGGCACTCTCTAAGTCTTTGGGGTTTTTTTTTTTTTTTTTTTTTGGTTTGTTTTGTTTTTCCTCTCCTACTTCTAGTACTCGTACGAAGGGATGGAGATTAACAGCCTGCCAGTGGAGCTGACAGTCGTGTGGAACGGGAATTTCAACATTGACAACCCAGCACAGAACAAAGGTAAAGAGTTATTTCAACTTGTCCTTGGAAGCAGTAACCTTAGCAACGGGCCCTCGCTCCCTACACTTAACAAAGCCGCCACCGTCTCCCCGTGCTGGCTGCTGCACACTTGTTCTCTGCACTCTGCAAATTACCAATTTCTGAGTGCTTTGTGTGCCTCCCCCCAGCCCTCCAGTTCTCTCATTCCACCTGAGAAATGCGACTCTCCCTCCCACTTGTGTTGCTCTCCCTCTCCCTTCATCGTCCCTGCCTCCCGCTTCTCCCCGCATCCTCGTGCCTGCTTTTCACGCCCCTCCCTCTCCAGGTTTTTTCTCCCCCTCTTTTATTTCTCCTGAAGTGATGCTCTTCAAGTTAACATGCCAGGAGAACGGGCTCTCTGCTCAGAGGCAATTTAGTAATGAGCAGGAGAAGGTAGAAAGGGAGCAGGAAGGCTGCAGCTCTCCAGTGGGAGAATTCTGAGCAAAATAAAATTATGATGATGATGATAAAAAGGATCTGAAAACCACCTGTGTTTAACCACCACTGATGGCACAGGTTTGGTGTGCCCCTCACAGAAGGGGCTGCACATCCAGCCACAGCCCTGGGGCAGGCTGGGTGTTTCTGGAGATGGATGGTCTGCCTACATCTTCTTCTTCCTTCTTGTCTTTCCACCCTGGAACCTTCCCCCCAGGCAACCCCTCCCCTTGGCTGCCCTGCATTTGCAGCTCACACCTGCAGATTCTCTTCTTCTCACATCATCACCTCTCAAAAATGTCTCCCGCCCTCTCTTTACCTTGTCGTGGACACTTCCCACACCTTCTCCCACTCAATCTGTCCCCAGCAGGTTCTGCCATGGTGCTGTCACACAGTTCCACACTGTTTTGGTTTGAAAAGCCAGGTGTCTGCTAAGGAAGGCAGGAGCCTCCCCGGAAATGGAAAATGTGTACCCCCTCCCTCTGAATTGTTATAAATTTGAAATTAAGGAGCTCTCAGGCAAAAATATGGAAGCAGGAATAACAGTTCTTTACTAGGGAAGAAAATAAAAGTAAAATAAACAATGCAGTAAATCAAAACAACACTGACAGAGTCAGAACCCAACCTGACACCCTGTGGGTCAGGGTGTTGGCAGCAGTCCCATTGGAATTGTGGCTCAGCCCTCCTGCAGTGTCAGGTGTGGTTCTGTTGGAGCAGGGATCCTGGACAAGGGGGGAATTTTCCCCTGAAGATCCAGTGGAAGAGGCAGCTGTTCCTCTGGGAAATCCAGTGGAAAGGCTGTGCTGGTGTCCCAGAATCTCCAGATTGGATCCAGGTAGGAATGCTTGGCTCCTCCCCTGGGCAATGCAGCATCTCCCCATGGGATGCTGGGATTGGATCAGCCCTGCAGGGACACTCAGTGGCCATGGACAGCAGAGATCTCCTGGAGGGAGGATTGGCTGTGGGAGAGAGAAAGAAAAAACTGCCCCATGAGCAGCAGATAACTGCCCCACCTCTGACAGGTGGCAAATAGAACACACATTGCTTGGCAACCAAGGGCACACACCCACCCTCATGCTGAGGGGTGAGGTTCCCACCAACACCACGTTCAGCCTGGAGAGCAGCACACAAAGCAGCTGTTCTCCCCATGGCACAACCCTATCCTCCCTTCTCCCCCTCTGAACGGCAGAGATCTGGCAACAAAACCCCAAAACTGTGACTTTTGAGGGTTAAATCCACTCAGCAAACACAACAGGCTGGAGATTCCTGCCCAGCTCTGGCACTCAGGCACAGCCTGTCCTGAAGGTGCCACCCTGCCTCTGCTCTGAAGTTTTCTCCTTCTCTCCAAGCTGTGCCAAGGTGTTTCCAGGACAGTGCTGATTTCCATGGCCCAAAGAGTGCCATGGGCTGGGAGAACCTTTAACAGTGTGGCTTGGAGGTCAGAATTTGAATGCTTGCCCCAGTCCTGCTTAGTTTTGTGCTACCATAAAATGAGCACCCCTGACACAAGGTGATCCACACCAAAGATGTAAATCCTTTTCTTGGGCTGCACTGAGCTATCCTAGGTGATGTGGGAGTGAAATAAATCTCATAATCATGATGATCATATTTTAGGACTGTTTGTGCCACTAACATAAAACAGACTAGGGGTGAACTCAAGAATCATCTTCTGCACAGGCCTTTTTTGGGTTATTCCAAGCCAAAATGTTGCAAATAATGACTAGGAAAAAATCTGGGAAACAGCACTGGCTGGTGGCTCTCCCAGATGAGTAATTTGGATATTATCATCATGTTTTGTGTCAGGAAGAGAGTTTAGGCATGTTCCCATAGAGATACCACATGGAAGCAGTGCCACACAGAGGTGACCAAGATGCCACTGCTTTCACATCCAGCATCACCATGGGCTGGGCTGGGAGGTTCAAATGCCAAACTGACCCAAACCTGCTAAATTATCTACAGAGATCCCCACTGGTAGCAGCTCAAGCAGAACAACTCAGCAAATTTGAAATCTCACAAAAAACTAAAGAAAGAGGTGTATCCCATGAGGTCTGGAAAACACTGTGTTTGACTGATGTTTTGCAGGCTTTTTGGGGTACTTTTGGGTACTCTTCTTGCACCCAGCATGGAGAAGTAAAGAGTTTCCGAGTTTTTCTTACATTGGCCAATACTTGCTGACTTTGAGGGGGAAGGTATGGAGAGACAGGGCCTTTCAGCATAAATATTTCCAAAGCCTTTGATTTGGGATTGTATAAAGATAAAAACCACTTTAATAACCCACAGACACAGTGAAACAGAAGCATAGAGGGAAAATCTCTCAATATGCCCACAAATGAAGGAAAGAAAAAAGTCTGAGAGCCTTGACTCTGTCACCTTCATCTTCCAGGAGGAGAATTCTGCTATCAGTCTCCTGTGCAAGCCAGGCCTCAGTTTCTACATCTGTAAAATAAGGATAAATAACGTGATCTCATTTTGTAGGAGGACTTCAATATTTTTAGGTTCTATTAGAAAAAGCTCAGAGTGCTTCTAATCACTTAACAGCTCAAAATGGAGCTAAGCATTAATCACTGCTGTCTGTATTAGAGTGGAATCAACTCTGCTTCAAAGTGGGAAGCAGACTGAATTTCTGGAGCAGAAGGAAGGGTAAAGGCTGGTTGTGAACCCCTGGAATCAGCCTAATAATGAACCACTGTGTATTCACTGTTACCTTTTGGGATTTCTGTCAAGTGAGAAACCTGAGGGGCATCACCTTAACACAAAATCCTGGGGAGATTCACACCCAAGTTTAATCTGTGGGTTGGCCAGTGTTGCTATAGGACACGAAAGAACAGAAGCTCAAACCACTGCTCTCAAGGTGAAGAAAAAGGGAAGTTTATTTTCTGACTCTAACATTTATAGTTTATAGTGACTGTGGATTGGAAGGTGACAGTGCCACCTCTCCAATGACACTGGACAAACCAACAGTCCATCAACTTTCTCCTCCTCCATAAAGGAATGCAAAACAATGAGTTATTTACAGAAAGTGTGTGAGAAAGTTTGTTACAAGAATGTCAACATGAGAAAGCTGAGAAAATCTTAAAAAAACAGGGTGACAGGCCAGGTCTACAAAATTCTTTTAAGATGAAGTGCAGAGTCTGAGGCAGGTTGTTGGTGACACTTTATGACATTCAGTCCATGAGAAAGGAAGGGACTGAGGCCAAATCACTGCCCAAGCATCATTTCCTCCAACCTCGTGCTTGTAGATCCTCACCTTACCTTCTGCTCCCATACCTCTTCCTCTTCATAACTCTTCCTCTCCTATACCTCTACCTCTTCCCCTCCATTACTCTTCCTCTCCCATACCTCATCCCTCCTGCTTTCAGTTTCCAAAACCACCTTTGATGAAGAATGAGCTAACGAATGAACTTTATTTCAAGGAGGATGTCCATGGTTTTCCCCCCATTACTCACCTCCCTGGAGAGTTGCTGTTGTACCTCTGACATGAGCAGCCCAGAACACTTTCCCCCCTTTCTCCCACTGCCATCCCACCCTCCCCTGAGCTGCCTGCCTCTCTCAGGCCCTGTGTGTTTGCTGTCCCTGCAGTTCACCTGTACAAGTGCGGGGCCATGCGGGACAGCTGCGGACTCTGCCTGAAAGCCGACCCCGACTTCGAGTGTGGCTGGTGCCAGGGACAGAACCAGTGCACGCTGAAGCAGCACTGCCCAGCCCAGGACAGCCAGTGGCTGGAGCTCTCCAGCACCAAGGGCAAGTGCACCAACCCCAAGATCACGGATGTAAGTCGTGGTTCTGCGAGAAGCTGGGGATTTCCCTTTCCTTGGTTTGTTTTCCTGGTTTGGGCTTGGGTTGGTGATGGGGAGGTCAGGGCTGAGTTCTCATGGGCCAGGAAAAGCCTCTGGGGATATGAGGCCATGGTGGCTTCAAAGGCAGGAACAAAATTTTTACAAAATTTTTTTTTACAACCCAGGGGTGACCTGGGTGTTGAAACCCTGGGTGCTGAGAATTTCAGACTTTCTGTGCTGCCAGGCACTGACCCCCAAGAGAACACTGCATTTGACCTGAGTCCTGGAGAAGCTTCCAGAATGGAATGATGGAACTGGGATTGTGGGTGTGCAGTTTGAAAAGAAGTGTGTGATATCACAGGGTGGAAAATTTAGAGTTTAAGGGTTTAGAATACAGTAATATAGATAAAGTAAGATGGAAGTTTTAGGGTGGAGGCTGGTCTTCTTCTTCTTCTTCTTCTTCTTCTTCTTCTTCTTTTTCTTCTTTTTCTTCTTCACTGTCTTCTCCATGGGTTTGGGTGGTTTTGTGTAATTGGATAAAAAAGTCCCCATTGTGGGCCATGGGTTGTTGGTTATTGGGTTAAAAGTGAAAATAATTCAGGTGTCATTTCTTAATTGGACAGTTTATCCTTAAAAGGCCTTGTAGAGAAAATGGGGCTCCATTTTTAGCTCGTTAGAGTTCCCTATTGATCATGTTGACTGGGCCAAAGTAAAAGCTGGAGGAAAGGTTCAAAAAGGAAATGAGAGAATAGGAAGACCATAAAGACAAAGAGCAGAATAAGGGAGACAAGGCAGGGGAGGCAAGTCAGGCCTGAAATCTAAAGGGATTTTTTTCTGCTGTCTTAGGATGCCTTTGTCATAATGTCAGGTATGTTTTCAGGGTCACAGGACTGGCAGCAGGACAGATCTGAGCCTTGAAAAAGAGGGCTCCATCCCTTCCAGCTGCCTCCTGCCTTGAGCACCTCTCAGTCACCAGGCCTTACTCAACATGAGCACCTTTTCAACGTGGCCAGGGCCTGATATACAAATGGGAAAAGTCAGGAGGGAAATGAAACAGGGAAAACATGGGAAAATGCAACAGAGGAAAACCCAGCCTCCACAGTGGTGCTTTAATAGGGATAGTTAGGTGTGTTATTTTCCTAGAAAGCAAGAAAAGCTTTTTAAAGTTATATTTGATTCAGATTCAAAAAGTATGGGTGTTATGGAAGAGCCCTAAACCAATATCTGTGCTTGAACATTTGGGGAGAGCAAAGGCTGGGTTAAATCTGTTTTTCCTAGATGTTACTGAAAATAACCCTTTTCCCTGTGTTTTGATCCATCTCCCTCCCATTCACCAGCTTTCAAAGCTCTCTCTCAGTTGAACTGTTGGAGTTCAGTTTATTCTGATGTTTATGGCTCATTCTGGTGTTTCCAAGGTGAAGGTCTCTACTTTACTTGGATTTATCTGAGACTGGTAATTCTGACCCCACCTGGACCACCTGAAGCTGTGAAATCAAACCCAGGCAGCCAGAAAGGACAGCTAAATTCAACTGAAAATTCAGCTTTGAGTTCTTGAAAATCACTTGGAGCCAGGGGAAACATTTTCAAAATATTTTCAGATTCTCAGACCTTTTGAAACAATGATAGAATTTGGTATAGGGCAGCTGATGGATAGATCAACTAAAGCAGAAATCCAAAACACAAGGACCTGGGTTTTCAGGGGTTCTGAAGGTTCACCCACATTTCCCTGCCATGCTTTAACCCTAATCCTTCATCTCCAGCCTCATTTTGAAGAGCAAACCCCTCATTCTCCACCCTGCAGCTCCAGAGTGCTTCAAATTCTGCTGGCATTTCCTCCAACAACTCTCTGAGCTCAAACAGATCATTGCAACACTCACTCATGAAATATTCCAGCTGCCTGCTGCAATCCTAAGTAGCTCTTGGAAGGCCTTTTTCTGAGCCATTAGCATGGAAGTAATCTCAAGTGACTGGATATATATTGCAGCTAATGGTAGGACTGGAGCTGTGGGGTGGGAGCATCCAGAGCCTGGAGAGGAGCCAGGGCTGGATCTCTGCAGGGAAGAACACGTGTACTCACACTTGTAGGGGCACTCACACCCCCTGCAGCACTGATCTCCCCGTTTCTCTACCAGCTCTGGCATTTACAGAGCCACTCAGGGAAATTAAGGGACTTAGAGACTCGCTGAGCCACAAAAACCTCCTTTAGGAGTGACAAGCAGCAGTTGATGTGAGCAGAGACTGGAAATTGAGATGCAGCTCTGGGTCTTCCAGAGGAAGCTGAGGCTTCCTGGCAGATTTTGTTTCCCTGCCTGGATTTTCCTCTCCAAAACTGACAGGTCTCGTGCCACGTTTTTCACCTGTGGTAGAACAGGCTCCTCCTCTCCTGCTGTGAAAACAACCTGGAAACACCTTCCTCTTGGTTGAATCTATGCCAGAGCTGTGAAATAGGGTTAAAAAATCTTCCATGGGGTCCTGGGAGAATCCCAGGCCCTCCTGATTCCAGGAAATAAGTGTTTTTTAAGGAAATAAGTGGGTTTTGAAGCTGGCCTTCACAAATTAAATATTGCCGAGGGAAGGATTTGGTGGTGCTGTGTTGGCTTTGCTCTAGGAAGTTTCCTGTTGATGCTCTTTGAGTCACAGCAAGAATTTTTTGAAATCTTGTGCTTTAGACAGCTTTCCCTCTCCCTTTCTCTCTCCCTTTCCCCTTTCCCCTTTCCCTTTCCCTTTCCCTTTCCCTTTCCCCTTTCCCTTTCTTTTTTCTTTCCTGGAAAACCACCACAAATACCTCCTGGTTCTTTTTAGAGTCAGACATAAGTCACACTCACTGAGGAGTTGGTTCACAACACCTAAAATTAATATCCTAAAATTTAATATCCCCTAGAGGTGCCTGGCTCTCCCTCCTTTTATTAAAGGTTGGCCCTTCTAAAATTCACCCTTTGGGTGGGAATTGCACCAACCCTGGTGCCAGGCTGGGTGCTGGGAAGGGGTTGGGAGCAGCAGGGCATGGCTGCCAGCCCCAGATTCCCACCTGACAGAGCCAGGGGCAGGCGGGAATGGCCCTGAGACAGGGAATTCCCATTTGCTCACTGCAGGGAGAGCTGTGCCAGCCCTGGCAGATGGCAGCCATGGCATCCTGAGCAGGCAGCAGGGAACACCCTGCTAGGGAAGTGTTTGAACCCCTCTCAAGTGAGCAGTGGCATGGCAAAGTGGGCAGGATGAGGAGTTGGAAGGGCAGGATAGAGATAATTAAGGGCCAGTCCTGTGATTCTGGTGTTGTTCCAATGCTCAGGACACAGTTCCAGTGCTGATTCCCACCTGGCTCTGGACAAGGGGGATGGAGCAGGACCCTGTGAGGGTCTGGTGCAGGGCCAGGCTGGGATGCAAAGACCATTCCAGCAGCCCCCAGGCTGGTTGGGATGGTTGCTCCTCTCATGCTGAGACCCAGAGGCTCCATAAATAATCTGTCCATGCTCCCTGCATGCCCTTCCAATGGCCCCAGCTGTCCCAGGAGGGAAACTGGAGCTCTTTCAGGAAGAGGTGTTGGCACAGAGCAGCTGCTGCTGTCTCAGTCAGCATCCACCTCCTCCACACCTAACCCAATACCCTGTTCCTGCTGTGGCTTGGCTGGTTTTTTTTCCAGGTGGACATTTTCAGCTGAATTTCTGATGCATGACCATTACCTCCATGTGCTTTGGGCTGGGAATTTAGGATTTCAAGTGACTGGCTCAACCCTTTATGTCCTTGTCTCGTCCTTTCTCCCATTTCTCTCCACCGTGTCTCTCTGCTGCCTTTCCATGGCTCACATCTACAAAGTGCAAAGCTCAGCTGCAGCTCCACAAATCCCCACAAAAAAATCTTCAACTCATCTCTGGATGTTTTGCAAGTAGTTAAAAGAGAGTGAATGAGGTCTGGGGCAGAATTTTGCATACTCTGTGTATCTGAAGTAGGTTTGTTCAGCATTTATAGTAAGTGTCCCTAGTGATCCCCAAAAGTTGTCTGTTCTTTCACCTGACATGTTTTGTATTTTTGCTGCCCCCAGACGAAGGGAAGGAATGATGAATCTGAGTCCATATTCTTAGAAGGCTAATTTATTATTTTATGATACTATATTATATTAAAGAATGCTAAACTATACTATACTAAGGAGTGCAGAAAGGATACAGACAGAAGGGTAAAAAGATAATAATGAAAACTTGTGACTCTCTCCAGAGTCCTGACACAGCCTGGCACTGATTGGCCAAAGAGTGAAAACAATTCACAGAAACCAATGAAACAGCCACCTGTTGGGTAAACAATCTCCAACCACATTCCACATGTGAGCACAACACAGGAGAAGCAAATGAGATAAGAATTGTTTTCCTTTTTCTCTGAGGCTTCTCAGCTTCCCAGGAGAAAAATCCTGAGCGAAGGGATTTTTTCCAGAAAATGTGAATGCCACGGACAGGATTCTGGTGCCTGCTTTGATCGTTCTCCTTTCTCTTGGCTTGTTTCCCCAGATCAACCCCGTGACAGGCCCTCGTGAGGGAGGCACCAGAGTGACCATCCGTGGGGAGAACCTGGGGCTGGAATTCCAGGATATCGCCTCCCACGTCAAAGTGGCCGGCGTGGAGTGCAAGCCCCTGGTGGAAGGGTACATCCCAGCAGAGCAGTAAGTGGGGTGTGTGGCACAGCAAAGGCCACAGCACACCTAATGACATTCCTACCTGTAGGGCCTTCCAAGGAATCCATTCCAGCCTGGGAACTGAGGGGTGGAAGAGGCCATTCCTCACATGCAGCTTGGGATATTCCATTTATTTAACAATCCAGTTATTACTGTGTTTGGAATGCATATTTAGGTGATCCTCATGGCAAATGCCTTGAAGTTATCCTGGTTTTCACCAAGCAGTCACTCCAAAGTGTTCAATTCCAGTTTGGAAGGCAGCAATCCTGAAAAGTCTCTTGCTAAATGCAGGAGTGATCACTAAACCTTAGAGCTGCCTCCACCATGCCAGGCTGGAGCTGAGAGGGATGGAGCCAGACCTCAGCCCAACATTCCTCTGTGTGTTTAAGTGGATTTAACTCCACCTCAGCACTTGTCCCACACAGAAGCCACCACTTTCTCAAGAATAACTTCATCCACAATTTGGATTCTGGATGGGACAGTAGAGGGTGGATTAATCTTCAGTCCATCCCCCAGCTGTGTGCACTCTTAGCTGCAATTCCATCTTACCAAAACCACTCCTCAAACTCTGCTCCTCTTGGTATTTTCCCCTCAGGATCGTATGTGAGATGGGGGAGGCCAAGCCCAGCCAGCACGCCGGATTCGTGGAAATCTGCGTGGCCGAGTGCAAGCCCGAGTTCATGGCCAGGTCTTCTCAGCTCTACTACTTCATGGTAAGTTCCTGAAAAAGTTCTCCTTGGCCCTGAACTCCTTGGCCTTGCTCCTCTTTGCTCCCTCTGTCCATTGTCCTTCACCACGTTGAGCCTCCGAGCTCTTCGCTGCCGTTCCGGTGCACCAGATTGTTCATTCCATTTCCTTTCAACATCTTGTTCCCAGCAAAAATAGCTGGTCTAATTAAAGTTTTAACAACCTAATAATAGTCCAGATTATTAGTCTAGTTACAGTTCCATGCAGCCGCGGTCCAAATTAATACAGAAAATTCTCATTAATAGTTAAAAGTGCTGTACAGGAAAGAATAAAAAAGAGCTAAAAAAGGGAAAAATTTCCCTAGTATCTTTTTTTTTGGGGGGGTGTAATGCTTTTGCTACCAACACCCCTCTGCTTGGAGCCACCAGTGTTGTCCAGAAGAAACTTGGGGGCTGTCACTACTCATTACAACCCCGGGATCTTCAGCAGCATGAGTGTGATGGTCTTGATTGGGTTTCTTTCTCCTCCCTCCTGGATTCCCCCAGGTGTTTATTCATCCCATCCACACCAGGAGCACTGGGATCAGGACAGATCCAGCTCAGGCTGCTGGTGAGCTGTAGGATGTGACTGGGGCTCAGTGCTGGTTTTGGATGCTCCATGATGAAACAGGAGACACCTGCAAGCTTCAGCTTCAGTTCAAGTGCAAACGCATGTTGTACACTCAACCTGTGCTTTATTCCTCCCTTCTGATGATGTTTCTTGTCCAAGAGACCTGATTATTCCTCTAAGGCCCCTTGCTGGGGACATGCAAGCATTGTCTGGCCTTGATCTGTTCAGATCCGTGCAGGTTTGAGATGAGAGGGTCCCTTTGTTCCCATCAAAAGCTTTCGGCTCTTGCAAGAGAATGGGTCTCTTCTGAAATTATTCACATGCCTGAGCATTTCTTTATGGTAAAGGGAACTTGTAATGAATGCAAATGTCTTGGATTCCCCCCTCGAGCTACAGAGGTTTCTCTGTTCTCTGCATTTCTTGGTGTCACTTGGGTGTTGCGGTGGCGGGGGCACAGAAAACACCTTGAGAGAAAGCCCCTACCAGGCAGCCAGAAGGGCTCTTTCCACGACATTGCACTTCAACGTGTCACCTTTGCTACTCCTGGAATTACTGTCTGCTTTTGATCATCCGTGTCCATCTGTGACAGCTTTTCCCTCCGCTTGCCGCCTTCCCGGCTGCCAGGGCACGAGCGCGAAGCCACCGGGGTTTTTCTCCTCTCAATACCTCCATACCTTTGTGCTAGACAAAAAAAAAACCCAAAATACAGGCACTCTCCAGCCTGCCCATCATATTCCCTCTGCCGTGTCTGCTGCTTTCACAGTGGGAGCTGTGTTTTTTTGGCTTCCTCGGGTTTTTCTGCCAGGAGGGCAGAGATGCTGTTGCAGGAATCTCGACACGCCTTGGCATCCTGCAGCGGTGCGTGGCAGCTTCAAGGGAAAGAAGATGTTTGAAAAGCAAGGAAGGGGCAGCACCTGGGAGATAAATGTCACTTCTTGACTCACAGCAAATCTTCTGGAAAATTGGTTTTTGAGAGGTTTGAAGGAAAACTTGGTTGGAGTTGGCCAATTGGTTCAGCCTTACCCTGTCTTGCAAGAATTCGAAGAGATGATGGTTTGGGCTCAACAGAGTATTTGATTTCAGTTTTTTAAGAAAGAGGTGGCTTAGTTTAGAGATGCCAGAATGGTTCTTCTCCACCTTTCTAACCTGAACTTTTAAATTCAAATAGCTGCTCGTTTGTTTTAAACTCAACTGTGATCAAAACCTGCAAATTGCATTAGAAAGTACAATAAGCCAAGAGGGAAACAAAGCTGAAATGAAATTTATGATGATCTAAATGAAATATATTTTTTTAGTTATTCATTTTCTTGCTGTGATTATTGTCCCAGTCTTTCAATGAAAAAAATATTAGATTTACTGAAAAGTTTACCTTTATTCTGGCTTTAGATGAAAATATTGTGTCTCAGTGCAGGTGTTGTGGGCTGCTCCACATTTCTTCTGATTCTGTTCCTAAAATCCTTGTTTTGGGGAGCATTTCCCATCCATCCCTTTCATCTTTTCCCCTCTTGCTGCTACTGTGGAACCTCTAGAAAGGAAACCCAGGTGCACGAGCTGTGTTTGAGTCACATCTTGCTCCTCCTGTGTTCCCAGGAGCAGTGGAATGGGAACCAAGGTCCTGACAAGCTCCATGGGGGGCAGTTTAGACCCAGCTCTGATGGTGCTGCTCTGTGGAAAACCTGTGTGCAGGAGATGCTGGAGGAAAGAAAGGGTTGGGGAGCTGAGGAAAGTTGGTAAAATCCTAGAAAATGCATAAAATTTCCTGTCCTCTTTCCCTCATTGTCACTCTCCAGCCTATCACAGATCCACAAGACTCTCTTTACATTTTCCACCACCTTCCACCGGTGAGGAAATGGTGAATAATCTGGAGTTTTGCTGTGAATGTGCTGTGCAATATTCAGGAAGGCCACTGTGAACAATTAAAGGTTGATCACAGCTTGGAAAGCTGAGCCACAAACCCATTTGTAAGATTGGCTCCAGGCACAGCAGGGCTTTGCCAAGGAGCCTTCCTGCTGTGGCTGTGGCCTGTGAGGATCCTCAAAATGCCATGGCTGCTTTATCTACCCCAAGGAGAGGGCAGGGAACCCACCCAGGGGTGGGACAAAGCTCTTTTGGGTCTTTAACTCAGATGTTCTCTATGATTTTTGGATCAGATGCTGCTGCAGTGCTGCTGTGTAGGCTTTGGGCATCAAGTTGGCCATTCCCAACCCATTTTCTGCCAGCATCAGCCATCAAGGTTAGCAGGAATTTGTACTGGTGGGGGTGTCCATCAGTAAGGGAGCTGCCATCAGAGCTTGAGGTGGTATCCAAAATATAAATTAGCGGTCCTGAAGTGCACCCTTTGCATTTCCATACTCTTCCTGCAGTTTTTATCCCATTAAAAGAGAATGGTAGAGAATATTTCCAGAAAACCACACTCCAGGCTTGGAGAATAGCTGGAATGCTGCCCAGTGGAAAAGGACCTGTGGCTGAACATGAGGCCAGGTGTGTCCAGGTGGCCAAGAAGCCAAAGGGGGATACCTGGATTGTATCAGGAATAGTGTGGCCAGCAGGACCAGGGCAATGCCCACCTTACTGTGCTGGGCACTGCTGAGATCCCACCTCAAATCCTGGATCCAGTTTTGAGCTCCTCAGGGAAGGGAACAGAGCTGGGGAAGGGTCTGGAGAACCAGGAGGGGCTGAGGGAGCTGGGAAGGGTCTGGAGAACCAGGAGAGGCTGAGGGAGCTGGGAAGGGTCTGGAGAACCAGGAGAGGCTGAGGGAGCTGGGAAGGGTCTGGAGAACCAGGAGGGGCTGAGGGAGCTGGGAAGGGGCTGAGCCTGGAGCAAAGGAGGCTCAGGGGCCCTTGTGGCTCTGCACAAGTCCCTGCCAGGAGGGCACAGCCGGGGGGGTCAGGCTGTGCTCCAGGGAACAGGGACAGGAGCAGAGGGAACGGCCTCAGGGTGGGCCAGGGCAGGGGCAGGGGGGATTTTGGGGAAATTTCTTGATGAAAAGGTTGCCAAGCACTGGCACAGGCTGCCCATGGAAGTGGTGAATCATTGTCCCTGGAAGTGTTCAAGGTGCTTAGACAGGTGCTTTAGTTGTGGCCTTGCCAGTGCTGGGTTAATGCCTGGACTTGCAGATCATAGGGGTCTTTTCAAAAACCTCAAAAATTCCATGATTCTAAGTATAAAACCAGATTCCAAACCATCAGGTGAAAACCAGCCAGGTTTAAACACAGAAAGTGCCCAGCTCTGACAGCAGATCCTTCTACAGAGCTCTAAGTCTGGTTTTCATGTTCTGCCCTTCCTCCAAGAGCTGCATTTAGAACAGGAGCAAAATGGAAAAATGGAAATCTTGCCGCTGTTTTTCAAAATGATTAAACCAGAGGGGCCTGGGAACAGAGGTGGCTCTGTGTGTGCGAGAGTGGGAGCTGTGGGGTGTGTCAGGTGGTTTTATAAACATGGATTAATGGTCTCCAAAGCTCAATAAGGTGACTGCATGATGTACCTGCTCGCTCAGAGGAGCTGAGAGCTTCAAGCACTTGTGTCATCATTCTTAAAGAGAGGGGAAAGAAATAATCTTCATTTAAATGCATATAGTAGCTTTTCACTTGGGACTGAATGGAAAGTTTTTCTATTAAAATGCAAATGAAAGAATAAACTGTAACACCAAATTTCTCCCTGAATATTGATGTCTCCTCTCTGCATTGTGGTAACAGGGTGATCTGTGCCTTCAGAGAGCGAGTATTTTATCTTGATTTGGGGAAGAAGGGAGGGTGGCAAGGTAAGAAAAAGAGTTTTGAGATTTGGGGCCTCTAAAGGAATTGTCCCCCTTTTTTGATATATTAACACAATGCTGTGTTAGGCTGGGAAAAGAGGCTCAGAAAATCAGCAGGAAAAGGGAAAAGGTGTTCAAAGGACAGTGCTGCTCCTGTGGCTGTTGCATTTCAGAGAAGCACCACCACCACCATGTCTCAGTGAAGGACAGCTCAAGGCTGCCTCAACATCCAGGTCAGATAAGAGAAGGATTTAGGGTCGTGTATGGCCATTTTGCACCAGGGCAGGTCCAGGTTGGACATCAGGAGGAATTTCTTCATGGAAAGGGTTGTTGAACGTCGGAATTGCACCAGGAGGTGATGGAGTCCCATCCCTAGAGGCGTTCAAAGAACAGCTGGATGAGGTCTGTTCTGGTTGTCAAGGTGGGGATGGGTCACAGGTTGGACTGGATGACCTTGGAGGTCTCTCCCAACCTCAGTGATTCTGGCATCCTGTGTGGGAGAGGCAAGAGCAAACCCAGACATTCTGCTGAGCCCTCCTCCATCCAAGGGGGAATGGCTTCCCACTGCCAAAGGGCAGGGTTAAATGGAATATTGGGAAGGAGTTGTTCCCTGTGAGGATGGTGAGGTCAAAGAAGCTGTGCCTCATCCCTGGCAGTGTCCAAGGCCAGGCTGGACAGGGGTTGGAGCACCCTGGGATAGAGGGAGGTGTCCCTGCCCATGGCTGGGGTGGGACTGGCTGATCTTTATGTCCCTTCCCACCCAAACTCTCCTGTGATTCTGAGAATCAATAAAGTTGAGTGATCTTCTCAAAACCAAACCATTTTCATCACTTGTGAGTCCCACAGTTTGGAGGTGGAAATTCCCCATTAAGCTCCAATCAAACCAGTTCAGTGCCTGAGTTACCCTGCAGAGCTGGTGGTGTGTGACAGCAGAAAGAGCCCTGGGCTGTGCCAAACAAGCAGTGGAGATGAGAGGTTGTGACCCAAGGTGCTTCAGGCATCGACCTGTCCTTGTAGGAATATTTCTGAGTGGGTACAAGGGCAGATCTCATTTTGGAGGAGTGAGAACAGACTGGGGTTGGGTCTGAACTCATCCCACCAAAGCTGGCACTCGAGCAGAGGGTCTCTGACAGATCTGGTGTCACCCCAGGCTCCTTTATCAGCCAAATGTGGCCAACTTCAGAAGCCCAGATTAATCCTTGGGGTTGCCTCCCTCTCTCCAGCACTAACAGGAGAGGGAAGGTCTCTGTGCTGTGTCTCCAACACCTCCCTTTGCCTCCACAGACTCTGACCCTGTCTGACCTGAAGCCGAAGCGAGGACCAGTGTCGGGTGGCACCCAGGTGACAATCACAGGCAACAACCTCAACGCTGGCAGCAATGTCATTGTGACCTTTGGGAGACAGCCCTGCCTCTTCTACAGGTACAGATGAGCCCTCCCTGCTGCTCATGCCTGAGTGCAAAAGATTAAATGCCACTTAAAGTCAGGAAACTTCTCCTGCAGCCCTGACACCTTGTCCCTCAAGCGCCTCCTTTGCTGCACGAGGACTTGTGCATTCTGCACCATGCACAGCCTTGCTGGCCATGTTTTGGGGAGAGAAAATAGGATTTATTTCATTGTTTTGATTGGTATTTGATGTGCTTTTTCCCGTGGCCTCTTGTCAGATTTCAGTACAATTCTCCACGGTCCTGCGCTCTGCTACTTGCTCTGGGAGTGCGTCGTTTAAAAGATTCATTTTCATGTCCCTGCTTTAGTGGAGGTGACAAAGAAAATCTGACAACATCAGTTCGAAGTACTAAACCACCTCCCTTTTATCCCAGAATAGTCCTGTAGTGCTAAGAAATGGATGATTTGCAACATTTCAGCTCCGTGTTGGCTCCTGCTCAATGGCGCTTCAGAGAGGCTTAATGTCAGTGTTACCTGCTGGATGTTCCCTGATCCCTGTGAGAATGAGTCTGAATCCCATTCCCAGGGGCTCCTGCAGCTCCAAACTACCCTGAGCAACACATTTTGCTGCCAGTAGAGATGGGGGCTGAAGATGAAGTTGGCACATTTCTACCAAATATGTCCTTGGCAGAGGAAAAGCTCATTCACAGGAGACCTGGGAGCACTGCCCTGGGGCAATGCCCTTCCCTCTCCTGGCTGTGGGGATCCTCTTTAGCAGCCTGTCATGACTGTGGAGCGATCCAGCATCCAAAATTCAGCAGGGTGAAGTCACAGGCTGTGATTTGAAATGCCAAGTGGGAGCCACAGCTGCTTGGAAATGCTCACTGAAGGCTGGGGAATTTTAGGAGGGATTGAGCATTGTCTTTTGGGGGAATTTAGAGGGCACCTGGAGGGTGCAGTCATTGGAGGTGGCTTACACCCCCATTTTAGGGGTATAAGGTGAGGCTGCATCACAAATCACAGGACTGGGAAGCCTGAGAATGTTTGGTGCCCGGATTTTTGACTCATTTTGAAAGGAATGCAGACCTGGAGCTGGTTTTGAGCCCTGCCAAAAAGGAAAAGTTTATGCAGAATCCTCTTTAATCATAAAATGCTTCCCACTATATTAGCACTTCCAGAGGTCCCAGGCATGCTGCAAACTGCACTTAAAACAAGACTTACAGTCCTAATGCAAAGCAAACTTTATGATCCCAGACCGCAAAGCTGAGGTGCAAACACCCCTTTTACGAGCTGCTGCTGCACATGTCTGCAGGCAGGAAGGAAACATCCATCAAACATTTAATCACAGAGAAATACTTCTGCAGAGAGGCCTGGTTTGGACTGCCCTTGGGGTTCAGATTTTACTCTGAGTCCTGAGAGATGAGCGCTCTTGTGGTTTTATTCAAACCAGTGAAAAGGCAATGCCACTTCCCCAGAGACTGCTACAGAAACATAAATGGGTCACACTGAGTTCCACCTCTTCAGTGCACAGGACATAAGAATAAATTTGGGGCCACAGGACATAAGAATAAATAGTTGGGCTCTTTTTGGCACCATCTTGCTGCTGGTAGCACCTGGTTCACATTTACTTTCTCCACCTCCCAGGAGATCCACCAAGCACATTGTCTGTAACACCACAGCCTCCTACGAAGGCTTTGAGAAGGTGAAGGTGTCTGTGAGAGTGGACAAGGCCAAGATCCATCAGGAGCTGCACTATGAATATGTAGAGGATCCCACCATCCTGAGGATCGAGCCTGAGTGGAGCATCTTTAGGTGAGAATCCCAGGAAAACCCTTCTCCCAACTCCCATGGTTGTTTAAAGGAGCACTGCACTGATAACTTTGGCCCTTGGTGTAGAAAATTGATTTCCAAGCGTTGTGTCCAGCAAGAATTTGTGCAGGGAAACTTTCCAGAGCCAATAGATCCCTCAGGGTGGATTAGAGTGAAGTGACACTGAATGATCAGTGTTTGTATAATATAATATATATGTAAATATATATATATACATAAGTAGATATATACATTATATATGTAAATATATATTATATATATATGTATATAGGTTTATTTTAGAACAATTTGGTTTTAAGGGGAAGCATCTACACAGCCATTTTGATTGTTATTATCTCTAGCAATATGAAAATACAAAAAGCCTAAAAATATCACATAAGAAAATGGGTAGGAAAGAAAATGAACGGATGAGAATAGAAAAATTGCACTACTCATAGGCTCCACAGAACTTGGTCATTGCAATTTTGATGTCAGTCATTTGATGTGATGGTCACAGACTGGATCCATCAGAGGACAAGGGGCATCCCAAAGAAATTATGAGCAAAATCCCCAGAACACAACCTCTGTTGGGTTTACACTCAGCTGGGATACCCAGTGGGGAGTTTCCCACTGGATGATGGAAAGCTGTGGATCAGGGACACCTCGATGATGGAATGTGGTGCATCACGAGTTTTTGACACCTTCAAAGTCGACACAGCTGCCCCTTGCACCAGCCCAGTTGGCTCCATTATGTCCCATCCTGGCCCAGCAGCAGAGTGAGCACCTCAGGGGCTCTGTGTGAATGTCCCAGCGCTGCCCTGGCCGGGGGAGTTACCACAGCTGAGCTCACTTGATGCCTCAGGTTTTAGCTTTTCTATTTTTCCCATTCTGAGCTGCTTTAGTGTGTGGGTCTGGGCTTCATATTATGGGATGGTGAGCTCTGTGCACAGAGCAGGGAGACAAAACAATTCCTGCTCCAGCTGGGCACCAAGGACAAATGACCCAAATCTCAGCCCAGGAGCACAAACCCCGTGGGCTGGAGAGAGAAAAACAAGCAGGGTGGGACTGCAGGGGCTAAAGCTGGAATGGGACAATGAACTGCAAGATGCAAATGGAGCAGAACTGATCCCAGGGAGAGACCCCGGGAGCGCTGGTGCATTTTGGGGCCATTTTGGTTCATCTTGGGTGCAGGCCTGGCTGGGCTCTTGTGCTGCCCAAGGTGCATCCATGGAGGAGATCCTTGGAATGAATCCCTGCTTTATTCTGGAACTCTGCCCAGCCTCTGTTCCAGCTCAGCCTTCTCAAGGCATCACACTTGATAGGGACAAAGTTCCCACTTCCCAGGGTTGGCTCCAGCCTGAGCTGAGCTGAGCTTGCCCCTGGCACCTGGGTGGGTGCTTTGCCCATGGCAGCTTCCCCTGAGTATTTGAGCCACCAGCATCCCAGTGTCTCTTCTAGAATCACATTCTTCTCCCTTGACCTGGGAGGACTGGACAATAGTATCACGTTTATCTCATCCCAAGTTCCCTCCACACTCCAAATTCTGTTTGTAGGTGTATTTGGGGAGGGGTGGCTGAGGTGGTCACAGATGAGCAGCTGCTTCTTTGCAGTTTGCTACAGTGGGAAAAAGCCTTTCCATGATTTTAGCAATATTTAAGCCATGAACCATTTAATTCTCCCACACTTTGCAAGCTGTAATTCCTACCTTTCCCACAGCCTTCATGGACTTGAAATTCCCACATTTCCCACAGCCCTCATGGACTTGAAATTCCTATATTTCCCACAGCCTCCATGGACTTGAAATTTCTACATTTTTCAAAGCCCTCATGGACTTGAAATTCCTACAGTTCTCATAGCCCTTCTGGACTTGAAATTCCCACATTTCTCCCAGCCCTCATGGACTTGAAATTCCCACATTTCCCCCAACCTTCATGGACTTGAAATTCCTACATTTCTCACAGCCTTCATGGCCTTGATTCCTCAGGACCAAGCACTGCCTGCTTGGCCATGGTGCCTGGAAGCCCCAGGGCTCTGTCCTGAGATGAAACACAATGGGAGCCCTGCTCCCTGCCCCATCCAAGAGCCTTTCTCCTCGTTAGGGATACCTTTTTCTCTTCACCCCCTTGATGCTGCTTTGCTGAATTCACAGGGCTCACATGAAAGTGCCTGAGAGCAGCGTTTGCCCTGGTTGTGGGAAGCATCCAAGCGATCCCCAAACTCTCAGAAGCCTGGAGGAATGGCCTCAGGAAGGGAGAAATTGGTCATTAAATGCACTGGTATTTCCTTGAAAAGATCCAAAATAAGAAGTCTTAGTCTCCCCTCATTCATCCAGGCAGCTCTCTGCTTCCCTGTCAAACTGGACTGATTGGAGTCCCTGGGGATTAGGAGCAGAGCTTGTAAATCCCCCCACCTCAGCTCCCATCCCAAAGATGTTTTCACAAATCAATTAGTGCCTTTAATTACCGTGAGGGAATTTACTGATTTAGCCGGATTGAGTCTTTGCACATTGGGCTTGAAGCTTTAATGTCAGGATTTTCCATTTGGGGCTTTTATTTCCAGTCAGAGTCCAGGTTATCAGTGAAATGAGAAATCACTTTACTCCCTTAGAAAGCCAGTTCAGTGCTGCTTAAAAAGGTGCAAGATTGACAGCCTAGGAGAGTGAATTCCTGAAAATCCCCTGGAAAGCTGCAGCACAGGGACCTTCCTCTTCCTCCTCCTCTCTGGCCTCAGGTGTGGCTGGGATGTGAGGAGTTCTCCACAGCCTCCTTGCTCCTTGATTTCTCTGCTGAAGCTGCCAGGCAGAGGAGAAGGAGCAGCCAAGGAGATGCCTCAGGTGTGATAGCAAAGCTTTGCCCAGCCTGGAGGTGCAGGGACTCTGTGTCCCATGGCTGGGTGGGTGGGATCTCCCATCCCAAATCCCAAATCCCAAATCCCAGAAAAATGGAAATAAGGGTGAGGTGCTTGTTTAGGGAGTACTGGGTTATTTGTGGGGTGTGTAGCTGCTGGGATGGATGGGATATCCCATCCCAAATCCCAGAAAAATGGAAATAAGGGTGAGGTGCTTGTTTAGGGGGTACTGGGTTATTTGTGGGGTGTGTAGCTGCTAGAATGGATGGGATCTTCCATCCCAAATCCCAGAAAAATGGAAATAAGGGTGAGGTGCTTGTTTAGGTTATTTGTGGGGTGTGTAGCTGCTGGGATGGATGGGATCTCCCATCCCAAATCCCAGAAAAAATGGAAATAAGGGTGAGGTTCTTGTTTAGGGGGTACTGGGTTATTTGTGGGGTGTGTAGCTCCCTGTATGGATGGGATCTCCCATCCCAAATCCCAAATCTCAGAAAAATGGAAATAAGGGTGAGGTGTTTGTTTAGGGGGTACTGGGTTATTTGTGGGGTGTGTAGCTGCTGCGATGGATGGGATCTTCCATCCCAAATCCCAGAAAAATGGAAATAAGGGTGAGGTGTTTGTTTAGGTTATTTGTGGGGTGTGTAGCTGCTGGGATGGATGGGATCTTCCATCCCAAATCCCAGAAAAAATGGAAATAAGGGTGAGGTGCTTGTTTAGGGAGTACTGGGTTATTTTTGGGGTCTGTAGCTGCTGGGATGGGTGGCTGGGACTGCACATGTCTCATCACTCATGGAATTAATAAGGCTGGAAAAGACCTCTAGGATAATTGACTCCAATTCTTTACCCAGCACTGTCACATTCACCACCAAAATGTGTCCCCAAGTGACACATCCACACAGCTTTTGCACACTTCCAGGTATTATTTGAGCATTTCCAGGGATGGAGCATTTTTTGGGTACAACCTCTCGCCTTTGCTTTCTTCATCTGAAATCAGGAAGCGTCAACTTGAGCATTTTTAACCAGACCTCCCCAGTTTCATCCTCTTTCTTAAGCACTTTTGAGTCACTCCAAAGGTTGGACAACCCTGGAGAGAGAAGATGGAATATCCAGGATTACCATGGGGTTTGTGGTGTCAGGGAGAGTTTTAGGTGCTGTAACTGTGGGGCTGAGCTGCTCTCAGGGAGAGATGATTGCCACTAAACCAGCTTTGCAAAACCAGTGAATGAATGCACCAAGCCTGGCTTAAAACCTTTATTTTTCAGAACAATAAAGAAAAGATTACTGCTAATTTATTTCCATAGCCAAAAAAAAAAAAAAAAGTCATGCTGGGCTGGCAAGTAAATAAAATTTTATGAGCTCCATTAATACTTTTGATCTGAGTTTGATTTGAGTTACATCCAGCAATTACCTGAGTCTGAAGGCAGAAAATGATACTCTCAGGGTTTTTTGGGGCAATAAACTGTTAAATTCTGAGGGCTTTTGGCACCTCTGTTATTTTGCTGGGCAGCAGCAGGTCTCCAGGCTCTGCTCCCACCTGGCTGAGCATCCAGATGCAGGCACAAATGCCACTGGCCGGCGATTTTCAAGGCAAGAAACTCTTTTATTTCCTTTCTTTTCAAGCCAGAGAGGGTTTAGGGGTGATTTTAAGTCTTCAGCAAACAAAAAACTGCTTTACCTTTTTTTCTTTCCCTCTCTCTGGTCAGGTGCTGTGGCTGTGTTTATTACCTGTGGTCCGAGCCTGCAAGCTCAGATTCCAACCCAAATAGAGGATTTTTAACTTGTGGGTTTAAAGCTGTGTGTACAGATTTGGTTGATTAAATAAAAGGATTTGTCTTTATATAGACACACATACCTGTAGGTGTGTTCACACATTGGATTTTTGTGGAACACATAAAACTTTCAGCCAAGTAAAGATATAAAATCCCATCTAGCTTGAATCAGCAGAGATTAATTATATTTGTAATGATATTATTATTAGATTATATAATAATAGCAATAAAATTGTATTTTTATTATTGATATAAAGGCTCGCAGCCAAAATTCAGAAGATCCAGGACAGTGGAGAAAGAACAATTTGGTTTATACACTTCTGTGTTTTGAAGAATTCTCTCTGGATGATGTCAGGAATCTTTACAGGGAAGCTGAATTTTGGAGAGAGGATTTTTTTTTTTCTGTAAAGCAGGGAAGGTCTATTGTAAGCAGATGTGTGACTTCATCAGGATCCCTTGTGCATTCAAAAAAACTCATCCAGATCTTATGGAAACAACAAAATGTGGGTTTTCACTGTAAAATTTCCCATTATAGTTGATATTTCAGAGAGAAAATACTTGAGATACTCTGCAGAGCTCAAGGTCAAATATTGCCCTAACCATGGACCAGTCCAGCCCTCGAGTGAAAGACCACGAGGAGCCTCCCAGAGAAGTGTCCCCAGACATCTGCTGAGAGATGTGGTTGTGCCAATTCTCTCTGGATGAACCCCAAAAGTGTTTGGTTCATCAGTGTGGGTGCCACTGCAGGGGCTGGAGCAGAGCTCACCCAAACCTGGCATCTCTCCTGTGTGTGTTTGCATTCACTCCTGCCTCCCCAGCTGATTAATAATGGAAGATAAATCAGGAGCACTGCAAACAAAGGTCAGAAACGGGGGAGATTTGTTGCCTTCTTCCTCCCAGGGTGTTTATTCTCTGGTGTTTTCTCATTTATAATGCACATGCTTCACCTTTCCTGTACGTACAGCTTTACCTGGGGGCAGGAAAGGGATTCTGAACATTCTTCTCACAACCCCATTGATTTCCACATGGCCTCCCCTTCCCAGCAGGAAATAAACTGCATCCTGGACAGTGTCCAAAGGGAGTTACAGAGGCAGGTGCTGAAACTGCTGAGAGCACTACTCACCCTGGGAAACCCTCAGAGATGGGGCTGTGTGCTGATGGCATTTCCTCCTCCTGTCCTGGCTGTGTGAGCCCTGACAGGTGAAGGTTTTGCTTTCTTGGACATCTCTTCTCCTTTCAGCCCTGGATCACTCTGCCCCCACCTCCTGCTGTACCAGCCCTGCATCGATACCCAGAGGCTGCCTGATATGGCAGTTTCAGCAAGCATTTTTCTTCACTTATTGTAAGAGCCTACATGAGGGATGTGGGACTCCAAGCAGCTCTCCAAAATGCAGTTTATTGTATCCAAAATGCAGTTTATTGTATCCAAAATGCAGTTTATTGCATCCAAGGTGTCACAGCAACCCAGGGTTGTGGGTGACAGAGCTGTGCCCACAGCTGTCAGCTCCAGCTGCAGGCAGCCCTGCAGACCCTTTGGTTTTGGTTACAGGGCATTATAGACTTTTCTTTGCTGAGCATCTTCATGCAGTAGAACCCATCTATACCTAAATCTATAGTTATCTATAGCCTATCATAGCTACTGTAATTACCATATTCATGGTACTGTTCTCCAATCACTCCAAGTTAGTGCATTACAGTTTAAGCTAGAAGTTGGTTTTCAGTTTTCTTGCAATGGAAAATTCTGAGACCTTTTTTCTACTTGCACCATTTGCTGCCTTGTTTGCCTGTGCTCTCTTTGTGCTTGGTAAAAACATCTTCTTGTTTGGGGTGGGTTTATCCTTTGCTCTAAGCCATAAAACCCCTTCTAACTCACACACCCTTTGCCTCCTTGGTTAGCCAGTGAGACTGGCTCAGCAATTCTTTTCCTCTATATCAAAACTTGCTTCCATCTCTATTCCTTCATCAGACTCCACATTTAAAAATCTTTCTGCTAAGCATCCATATCTGTGAGACTTTCTTGTCAAACTTTCATCCTTCCCAACAACTTATTTCTCCCCTTATGAATGAATGCAAACTTGTTTTGTTCTTCCTTCCCTCTTTACGGGACCACGAGACGTGGTCAGACACTTTGCAACCAACATTTAGGAACACAGATCACCCATTCCTGGTGTTATGGGTTCTGACATCCATCACCTGGGTTCATTCTTTAATTCCATTTCTTATTCTCCAGTGGCAACACTCCCATTGCTGTGTGGGGAACTCACCTGGACCTCATCCAAAACCCCCAGATCCGAGCAAAGCACGGTGGAAAGGAGCATGTCAATGTGAGTATGACTGCAGAGCTGGAATATTGGTAATATTCCAATAGGAGGGGACATGCCACGCTGGGGACAGGGGCTGGCTGACACCTCTGGAGCTTGAAATCTCCTATTGCAGCCCAAAAAAGAAGGCATGGTTTGTTTCCAGAAATATTACCCCATCCCTGAAGGACACACACACAAAAAGAAGGTTTTTGGCAGGGCTGGAACCAAACTTCAGGGTCTCCTGAGACCTTCACCTTTGTCTTTGCTTCTCCAGATTGCTGGGATTCATTTCAGGTAACCTGATATCCAAACTGGAATCCTGAGCACAACTGAGCATGCACTGCACAAACACTTGTGGAAAAACAGCCAGAGTGTGAGACCTAATTGCAAGGTGGTAGTGAGGTTTTGACTAATCTGTGCTGTGCAAAAAATCTTCTTCAAGGGAAGAATCTTCTATTTCCAGAAGGAAACAAAGTCAGGGGAAGATGCTGACACTGGCAAGAGAGGCTGAGCTCTCTCTCCAGAGGCACAGGAGGCCCTGTTGAAGTGCAAACTGCTCCACACACCTGCCCCAGCAAGGCTTTCCTAACCCCTGCCCAGCCTTGATTGTGTGATGGGGAATAAGAATAACCCATTCTCCTCCCTCTCCCTGAGAGCCATCTGCCCCCCAGGAAGGGTGGGGGCATTTCCCATAAACACTCCTTGGTTTTGGTCTCTTTTCCCCCAGAACTGTGAGGTGCAGAACAGCACAGAGATGATCTCCAGGATCCCTATTTCCCTAAAGACTCCTTGGTTTGGGTTTCTTTTTTCCCAGACATGTGAGGTGCAGAACAGCACAGAGATGATCTCCAGGATCCCTATTTCCCTAAAGACTCCTTGGTTTGGGTCTCTTTTCCCCCAGAACTGCGAGGTGCAGAACAGCACAGAGATGATCTCCAGGATCCCTATTTCCCATAAACATTTTGGGTGTCTTTCCCCAGAACTGTGAGGTGCAGAACAGCACAGAGATGACCTGCCAGGGTCCCTATTCCCATTAATATTTTGTGTCTCTTTCCCCAGAACTGTGAGGTGCAGAACAGCACAGAGATGACCTGCCAGGCCCCAGCTCTGGCTGTGGACCCCAATCACCAGTCTGAGCTCGCCGAGCGCCCGGAGGAGTTTGGCTTCATCCTTGACAATGTGCAGTCCCTGCTGATCCTCAACAAAACCAACTTCACCTACTACCCCAACCCTATCTTCGAGGTTTTCAATCCCTCAGGGATCCTGGAGCTGAAGCCTGGAAGTCCCATCATCCTGAAGGTGAGATGGGCACCAAGGACTGGACTGAAATTCTGCTTCTTGCCTCTCTGTGCCTGCCAGCAGCCCCATAAATCATCCTGAATGCACCCCAGAAATTTCCTCCATTCCAACAACATCAGAGTCACCATCAGCAAGCACCAAGCACTGCCCACACTCATAACTAAAAATTATAAACTCCCATGTGCAGCTTAAATTTGTACCCACTGCTGTTCACCAGAAAACATCTTCTACCCTTGCAATGTGGCTGATAGTGAAATACTCAACTCTGTTTCATTTCTTGTTCATTCAAGACCTTCCTCTCCCCCTTGTTTTAACCCAAATCAGTCCCTTGCAGTTTCTGTAAACTTCACAGCTGTACAGAGAAGGAATTTTATGATGCAGCATCCTGTATCACTATTTTTACACAGTGAACATGCAAAGAAGTTATTTTACCTGTGGATGCTTTTTGCATGTTTGGAAAGGGGTCTGCCTTGCTTGCCTGCCTATGTTTAGTGAGGGCTTTATTGTGCAGGACTTAGATGGAGCATTTCCCACTCAGCTGCAGAGAGGGAGGAGCAGGACAGGCCATTGTGACTGCTTTGAGTCTGTGGCCACTCATGCTGCTCTCTGCGTGAGTTTCTAAATTGCCTTTTCCTCTCTGTGTGAGCAAATGGCGAGCTACAAATGTCATAATGGAATCATATTTAGCTTGGAAGGGACCTTAAAGACCATCTCATTCCAACCCCCTGCCATGGGCAGGGACACTTCCCATAAGACCAAGCTGCTCCAAGCCCCATCCATCCAACCTGGCCTGGAGCAGTGTCAGTGCCCAGCCATCCACACCTATCAAATGCAATATCAACACTTGTATCCCAAGAAGGAACCGGAGGGGGAAAGAAAGCTCTTTGCTGACATTTATTTGGTTATTTTGGGGTGTGATGTTCCTTTCTGTGCAGGGCAGGAATCTGATCCCACCTGTGGCAGGAGGCAATGCCAGGCTGAACTACACCGTGCTGGTGGGGGAGAAGCCCTGTGCGGTGACCGTGTCAGACGTGCAGCTCCTCTGTGAGTCCCCAAACCTCATTGGGAGGCACAAGGTGATGGTAAGTGATGCCTGACCCCCAGCCCCTTCTCCCTGGGTGGCCTGGGAGGGCACAGCAGAGCTGCAGAGCTGGCAGAGGGCTCCAAGGGGTTTGCATCACTGTTTGAGTTCCCAGAAACATCAGGGTCCCTTTTTGGTGTAATATTCTCATCAAGGGTGGCTTGGAGAAGTAGAACAGTGGAAAAGTGACCTGGAGGTCTTTGTGGACAGTGAGACACCTTTCATGATCAAATCCCAGTAGGAGAGTTTGCCTCTCTTGTTTTTGTATGGGCTGTATGAACCCTGGATTCTCATGTGAGATCACATTTAACATGTTCCTACATGAAATTGTTAAATTCAGCACAGTCCCCATCACTTTGTTGACAGGATGGTGACTAAAATTTGCCTTTATGTAAGAGAGAAAAAAAAAAAAAGCAGCATGTGGACAATAGTGTGACTGGACTTCAGAGTTTTGACTTCTGTAAGACTCAGTGTGCTCCTACAAATCCTTCCTGAATGAAGAATGGACCTGGTGATTACATCAGAGGGAGCTTCTCCTCCTCTCACCATTTATTTATTTACTCCTTTTTTTACTTTCCTCTCAATAATTTGAATTCCTTGATGCTGGTGCTTGATAAACATCATATCAGCAAACAGCCTGGAGTTGTACCAAGCTGTGGGTGGGAACAACAAAAGCTGACAACTGACATCAGTGTTTCTCATTCCTTGTGAACAACTGTTCTTCTGTTGTGCCTCCCAAAGCTGTATCTGTCACATATTAATTTATTTATTTCAGTGAGACTCAGAGAGTTTGATCTTTAAAAAGATTTTTCTGGGAACTTTTAAGGAAGCAGAGCTCATGATGACCATTTTGGGTCTTGTTTGTGGCTGCTGATGGGATCCCTTGCAGTGGCTACTTAACTTCTCTGTGCCAAAGTTTGTCATCTGGAAAATAGAGGCAATAATCCTCTCCAGCCATGCAAATACACCATGACTCTCGATTCATTGCAAAGCACATTAAGACTCTCCAAGAAGAGCAATAATGAACTGAGAGATTTTCTCTGTGTGAAAACCAAAGCTTTTGAGCACGGCAATAAATGTTCCCTTTCATTTTCATGGATATGATTAAACATATGGTTAGTCAGAGACAGACAAAGCCAATCCTGGGGAGACAAAACTCAAAGCCAGGTGAGCAATAATCAACCCCTGGGGATCCTGGATGATGGACATCTGGCCAGGCTGCACTAATTGGGAAGACTCCCCTGCTCCTGCAGCTTTGGACAGTTTAAGTGAAGCAAAGATTAAAAAACAATCCTTTTTTGAGGATGCTGGACTGCTGGGAAACTGGGAAGATGATGGAGGTGCTCAAGGATGGACTTTGCATCTGGAACCAGGGCTGAAAAATGCCTCCTCCAGCATGGCACAGCATCTCTGCTGCTCAGGCTGGGACCATGTTTCACATAAACTGATGCCTCAAGGTTTTAGCTTTTATATTTTTCACATTCTGAGCTGCTTTAGTGTGTGGGTCTGGGCTTCACATTATGGGATGGTGAGCTCTGTGCACAGAGCAGGGAGACAAAACAATTCCTGCTCCAGCTGGGCACCAAGGACAAATGACCCAAATCTCAGCCCAGGAGCACAAACCCCGTGGGCTGGAGAGAGAAAAACAAGCAGGGTGGGACTGCAGGGGCTAAAGCTGGAATGGGACAATGAACTGCAAGATGCAAATGGAGCAGAACTGATCCCAGGGAGAGACCCCGGGAGCGCTGGTGCATTTTGGGGCCATTTTGGTTCATCTTGGGTGCAGCCCTGGCTGGGCTCTGGTGCTGCCCAAGGTGGGTCCATGGAGGAGATCCTTGGAATGAATCCCTGCTTTATTCTGGAACTCTGCCCAGCCTCTGTTCTAGGCATCAAATCATCTCTCTGATGCCTGCCTCCCGATTTTGCCAAAGATTTACTCTCTGACCTTGAGGAAATTGTTTAACAAACCATTTCTTGCAAAGTGAGGTGGCCACGAGCTGAGAGGGAGCCATGGGAATGAATCAACTGGTGCAACACAGAGATTTTTTCTAAGTGAAGGGGCAGTGGCAATGACACACGTTGATGTCAGCACGCTTTTGATCTGTCTTCTTTTGAGCTGTCTGATTTTGAGCTGTCTTTTACACAATGACAGAATTAAGTATTTGAAAAAAACATAGCAAGGAAATAAAAGGCCTGGGTGATGGTTAAAAACAAGGTTGACTAAAACTCAGAGGCAAGTTTTTCCAAGGAAAAGAAAGAGATGTGAGAAAGATCCACAAGTGGCTATGCCAGAGAAGGTCTGCAGGGAAGATGTGGAGCATATTTGAAGGGTTGCTGGTTTCTGACACAGCCTGGAAAGTACACCAGACTCTTTATAATGAATGGAGAGATGGTCAAATGCAGCAGCTGAAGGTCAGGGCATAATTCATTTCATCCTTAGAGGGATAATTTTATTTGCACCAGGAAAGACACTCCTTCAGAACTCCTGAACTCCTACAGGTGGCCACTAGGACTTCATTGGAGAAAGCCAGGCTCTGACAGAGCCCATTTAGAACATTTAGTCTAATTCAGGACAAAGTCATGACTCATAGTTTTTAAAAATGGGCAGATTGTTGCTCCTTGGTGAGTTCATGGTCGGTCTTCTGGAAGGTAAAAAGAGCTTCCTCCAGAACCACTTGATGGATTAAGAAGTAAAGGACAGCTGTATGTGCATATTTTCTTGTGTTTCTTTTAAAAGCTCACAATAACACTGCAGCCTCGTAGAACTTTCTTCTTCAAGAGCCAGATTCCCTCAGATCACGGCAGCTTCACTTGTGGATTGTGAGACCTTCCCAGTGATGAAACCACCTTTGAAGGGGAACACGCTGGGCCTGACTTTGAACACCTGCTTTTTTGGAGCTTAGATCCCCTTGTCATGAATGGAGAGAAATGGGAACTTCCACTGAATGAAACGCCTCATCCCAGTGTCAAAGGTGTCGGGAGCAGCTCACATAAATCACATCCTGAAAGTGTTTTTTCTCTTTGTTGGCTCTGGAATCGTGCTGCAGTGTCAAACTCGGATGTGCACGCGGAATATTTGGTGAGAGAAATCCCACCCGTGGAGAGGGGCTGTTCTTCCAGCTTTGAGGATGGATCTGCACTGGGATTTGGGATTGGGATTGTTTGAGTTTAGTCTGATATTCCTTGAATGGACTCGTCTGACTGCAGGGCTTGGAGAAAGAGAAAATGAAAAAGAATTAAGCAATTTATTGATCCACTGACAGCAAGGAAAGCGTGTGCACCGTGAGAAAATTTTGGGACAGTGGTCTAGGGCAAAAGGGAGCAACATCCAGTGCATGGATTAGGATGTGATTTTGGCAGTTTGCCTTCTCAGTTGAGCAGGCCACATTCCAACAACAAACCTCAGGATTTATAAGTGAGTTGGATCTTGGACCTTGTATCTTGAAATAGATGGGAAAACTCATTACTGCTGCATCCCAGCTAAATGCCTGAGGTTCCTTCATCACTGAAAATGCTCTGCAAGCCATCAGTGTCATGGTAGCAATGAAACTATGACCTGAACAGATGAGTTTAGGATTGGTTCTTTTTTTCATTGTGGACATTTCATCTTTCCAGACCCCCTCCCAAAATGGCATGAGAGGGATGGATGGAAATTAGCTGTTTTCAGACATTCACTTTGGTCTTGTCCATGACATAAGGATTGTAGTTGTGTCTCTTTGGCCATCCTACACCTGGTGGTAAAGCAAAACAACCTTCTTCCTTGAGGCTGCAACTGGGGCTGCAGTAACTTCTAGGAGATGACAAAGTCACTGAGATTCATGTCCCCAGAAAGGGTTGGGGTGGAGAGCACCTGGGAAAATTAATTAATTCATGATTCTGCCATGTAGTCCCTTCTGCTGGCTCCAGCTGGGCCAGTTCCTTTCTTCCTCTGCAGCCTAGAGAGGAAACCTGAGTAGGTGCCTGAGCTGAGATGGAGGAAGCCCTGGGATTAGTAAATGCAGGCAGGCTGGAGATGAACTGAGGGCCAGTGGGATGCAGGACAAGGCTGAACACCAGGCTGGGGTGTGGGGGAGAAACGTGAGGAAATGTGAGGGAGAGCTCCTCACAATGGAGGAAGAAAACAGTTTAATTCCAGACTACAGTGATCCCAGGTGCAATGGGAGCAGGAAACAGTCATTCCTGGGGTCTTAATTGCATTTCTGCCTGGCAATAAGAGTTTGCCCTTTGTGCAGGGCCAGCTGTGCCTCTCTGTGACGTGATGGAGCTCATCATCCTTCAAGCTCTTTGCATGGCACCTTCCCAGCTTTCTGCTGACCTACAACCAGCATTCCCAAACCACAACACAGCCCTAGAAGCCTTTTTATACTTCAGTCCAGCCAGAACACCTTTTCTCCCACCACTCAAGCTTTGCCTACTCTTCAAATAGCTTTGAACAGCCTTGTAGTAGCCTAAAGCCAGTGGTGTCCTGTGGGATTCCTGCTGGGAGTGGTGTTCCTGTTGTAAAAAAGGCCTCTAAGGGACTTGCTTCAGCAGAACATTTTGCTCAGAACAGGAGTGCTTGCAGGGTTTCTTTCTGGTTGTTAAAACCAAGGCCCTCTCACAGCAGCTTCTTCCAGAGGCTGGAAGCAGCTCTGGGAACCTCTGGAAGTAGATGGAGAACAAAAAGCTGTGTTCAACTCCTACTGGTGAACATCTGCAGTCATCCTGACAATGTACAGCTAAGACAGGGGCTGTAAAGAGAATGGGCCAGGCTTTGTGGAGTTTGTGGTGGATTTTCACTATCCCAGAGGCTTCCAAGTACAGTTTTATCTGGTGGGAGAGTCAAAAGAAAATAGTGACTCTGATTTCTGCAGTCCCACTGTACTCAATGGGTCAGCTCTCCTCTGCCCCATTGTGGGGTTAGGACCCATCAGACCATACCTCAAGCTCTGTTTTCTGTGTGTATTTTGGGCCTGAGTGACATCAGTGCTCCACACATCAGGATGGGGAATGAAAAATCCAGAATGAAATCCAAACTGATTTGGAGAAATTGTTACTCGTGACTTATCTCACCATAAATCCTTTGGTGGCTGGGTTCACGGTGACTGCCAACAGAGGTGATTCTATCATTTCAAGTGTTTTTAAGCTGTTCCATATCCAGATACCTCCCCTTTTTGGCTTGGGAGACAAGGGGCTGTCACCATTCACCCTCGGCCAGGACGATGACAGAGCTCCTCTGCGCTCCTGCTCAGTTTGACAGTCTCTTCGCTGCTTTCCCTCTAGGCTCGTGTAGGAGGGATGGAGTTCTCCCCAGGGATGGTCTACATCTCCCCAGACAGCCCTCTCAGCTTGCCAGCCATCGTCAGCATCGCGGTGGCCGGCGGGCTGCTCATCATCTTCATCGTGGCCGTGCTGATCGCCTACAAGCGCAAGTCCAGGGAGAGCGACCTCACCCTCAAGCGCCTGCAGATGCAGATGGACAACCTGGAGTCCAGGGTGGCCCTGGAGTGCAAAGAAGGTAGGGTGAGGGAGGCAGGATGACACTGTGTCAGTGTTGGGAGAAAGGAGACATCCAGTCATAAAGCTTTGAGACAAAATACCACGGTGTTGAGCTACGGTGTTGAACCCTGTGGGTGCAGCTCAAGCCTGGATCTAATCTGACTTTCCCTGTTTTCCCTTAGTTCAGACTTTCTCCACCCTCTCCCAGAGTTCAGGGAAGTTCAGACTTTCTCTCACCCAATCCTCTCCTAACTGGATTTGATAATTCAAAATCCACAGAAGGCCTTGGCACACATCCCTGGGGAAAGGCTGTGTGGTGGGAAAGGCGACCCTGCTCTCGTCCACCTTCTTCCTCTCCACATGTTGCCTTATTCCTTATTCTCATTCATGAGGGTCAGGGGTTTTTCCCATTCTGGTGAGGCTGATCTGGATTTTCACTGCTCCCTGAGTTGTTCTGGTTTTGTGCCAGCCTTTGCAGAGCTGCAGACAGACATCCATGAGCTGACAAGTGACCTGGATGGAGCTGGGATCCCTTTCCTTGACTACCGAACCTACACGATGAGAGTCCTTTTCCCTGGCATTGAAGATCACCCAGTCCTGAGGGATTTGGAGGTAAAACAAACAACATTTCCTGCTTCTAGCTCCTCTCATGCCTCCCTGTTCAGTCCTGAATGCCAGAGATTCTGTTTCAGTGGTGGGGATGTGATGACTTAATTATGCTGTGTCCTACAAGGGGTGAAACAGGTCTTCATTAAAAATCTGGGTTGAAAGGGGAAACGTTTGCTGTTATCTTAGATCATATTAGATCATAAAATCATTTAGGTTGTAAAAAACCTCTAAGACCATCAATTCCAATCATCAACCCAATGCTGCCAATTCCATCACTAAACCATGTCCCCCTGTGTGACATTCACACACTTTTTGAAAACATCTAGGGATTATGATCCCACAACTCCCCTGGACAGCTTGTTCCACCATCACATCATCCTTTCAATTAAGAAATTTTTTCCAATTTCCAATCTAAACCTCCCCTGGAACAACTTTAAGGCCGTTTCCTCTCATCCTGTCACTTGTTACCTGCTAAATTCTGTCTGATCACTCACTTATTTGGAAAACTCATAAATCATAGGTCTACTCAATTAAGCTTCTCTTTGGTCTTAACTCTTCTGTGGCTTGAGTTTTAGACTGGATTTAATATTTTCTGCCATGCAGGGACAAGGAAAATCTGTTGTATGACAGAGGAGCATGTTTGCCTGTGTCATTCAGCTTTTCATGACCCTCACACTACTATGAGGCCAGGTTTTCTTTGTGGCAACCCCTATAAAAATAACCCACCCCTACAAAAATAACCCCCTGCCACTGAGATTCGCCTTTGCTGCATTCTGGTTTGCAGTGAGGTCAGAAAACCACAGTGTCAGTCTGTCCATACCCTGCCCACATCTTCCTCCTCCACCCCAATGCTCTGGATGGAGACTTGTGAGATATTGTCCACAAATCTTGGGGTCTACACAGATCCTGTATCACCTGAGTGGTGACAGGAGCTTGATGGGAGCCCAGGTGAGTTCTGCCAGGCTAAAATCTGCTCCAGGCTCTGGCAGATGGACAGGCTCTGCTCTAGGAATACCTGGGCTGGAGAATCAGGAGCCACACCATGGCCAAGGTGTTGGCTGAGCTCTCTGCAAAGCCTTTGGCAGGCTCTGAGCTCCAGAGAGGTTCTGGCATGGGTCTGGGAGATTGCTGGAGGCCAGGCCTGGGCTTGGTTGGCAGGAAGGAGGAGCAGGAGCTGGCACAGGCAGGCCCACGCTTGGCTGGCTGTGTAATCAGAGATGCCTGCTCGGCTTTGCTCCTGCCACGGGGAAGAGCCAAAATTCATCCGACTGTGTGGAGAGAGACATTAAAAAACCTGATCTGTCAGCAAGGAGGGCTTGTGGGACTGGGCAGGAGGCTGAGTTACACATAGCTACTATACAGATTTGGAGTGCAGGTTGAGTGGCATCCAGCTGCTTTCCCTCAGGATGAGCAGATCCAACAAAGGAGGAACGAGGGGTGCTGAACCTCTCTCTCACATGTGTGCGCACACACACAAACACTTCCATCATCTCCACAGCCAATTTCCATCCCTACATTCATTAACCCCATCCACAGAACAGCATCTGACCCCTGCAGAGGCCTTAGCACGGATGCTCCCCTATGTAGATACACATTCAATCCAACACCTTTGATCTCTTCTTCCTTTCATTCCATTTGTTGTTTTTTTTTTTTTTTTCCCTTGATCCTTTGTAAAGCTTCACCAGCTCTCTCAGTGTCAGCATCTTTGGCTACCAATGTGAGGGCAAGCTCCCATTCTGCTCCCTTCTCTGAAGCACCCAGAAGGAATTGCTATTTATTGCAAAAGGCCCCAGCACAGATCCCACAGTGAGGTCTTATTTATTTCCAGTTCATTTGCTAATTAACTGCTTCCAGATGCAGCACAAAATACTTTTCTTGTTATTTTGTTTTAATTCTCCATAATAACCCTGGGATAGACAATATTAAATGTTCAAGCGAGTGAGTTAAAAATAATTATTGGCGGGATGGGTGGTGGTGGTTTGTTGGTTGGTTGGTTGCCTCAATCTATTTAGGAAGTAATTTATTTGTTGGATGCAAAAAGAGTTCAGAACTCTAATTTCCAGAATTAAAAAGTAACAACTCTATAAGGGGCCTTGCATTGCTTGGCAGTTTAAGCAAGTCAACTTCTTTTGAATTAAAGTGCCAAATTTGGGTGGTTATTAATTCACATATGCCTTGGTGACATGTGTTGCTCTGTGGTGAGACCTTCCAGCTTCCAAGAAAGGTTTTCAAGGGCTAGAACAGCTTCAGCAAGTAGAGGGATGAGTTTGGGATTCTCTGTTTAGTTTCCATCTTTGCCTGGAGCCAGAAGGATCAAAAAGACCTCTGTGGAGCCCAAGGTCCAGCACTGAGGTTCTAAATTGTTCTGTATAAAAATGAGTTCATCAGCCTCTCACAGCTGAGAAATTCGAGACTTATCACTCACTCTGTCTCCAAAACACCTCAGCTCCCAAGCCCAGGGGTTCTGCTGGAGCTCAGGGTGTCCTCTCACATTCACCTGCCTTGCTCTTCAAACCAAGGCCCAGTTCCATGGTCACCATCTCAGCCACTGCCTCACTGCCTCTTTTCATCTTCTCAAAACCTCACCCTGGGCTCTCTCTCCCATTCGCTCTCTTTCTGCCTCTCTCAGCTCCCTAAAGCTGAACCCCAAACTTCTGCAAGCAGGATTCTTTCAGGAATGAGAAAGAAGTCTTGGATGAAATCAGAGTAAGACTTCAGTCTGACTTAAATAAAAATATAACGTGGCATGGCGACACATTTAGGCACCAGAAATCCCTTTTGGATGTATTGATAGCCCTTGAAAACCTTTCTTGGAAGCTGGAGGGTCTCACCACAGAAAAACACATGTCACCAAGGCATATATGAATTAATAATCACCCAAATTTGGCATTTGAACACAAGCGGGCCCCTGGCTGGGTAATAATCAGCATAGACCCCATGCATTTCAGAAGGCTGACCATAATAATCTTTATTAAGAAACCCATACTTTTATACCCTAGATCACTACAGGTAGACCTAATTTGTCCTCTAATTAAAACACCATCACCATTGGCTAATTAAGAAACCCCCCTTTGGTAAACAAATCTCCATAACACATTCCACACGTTCACAATACCAGGTGCAGCAAGTGAAGATAAGAATTGTTTCTCATTCTTCTCTCTGCTCTTCTCACAGCCTTTCCTACAACAATGCCTGGGAAAGTTGTGTTTCTCTCTGTGGCCAGAGAGCTGCTGCCACAGATGTACTGATCAGAGAGGAGAACACAGGACTGGAAAAATCATCTGGATGTGGCTGGGAGTCTTCTCAGACTTCCTAATCTTTAGATGATCTATGGATTCCTATCTTGTCTTTCCTTAGCTGTGGAGCTGGAGGAATGAGAGCAGAGAGAGAGTAACAACAGGACAACTGACAGTGGGAAAATGAGGGAAAGGGAAAAACTCTTGCTGGAACCCAGGACATTCCTCTGACTGCCATGGAGGACTCAAGACCCTGGCAGGGGGCTCAGAGACCTTGGCACAGAGTCACAAACACCTGTGCCTTTGATTCTAGCCCATGGAAACAGTTACCAACTTTGTGTGAGGAGTTACAAGCCACAAGAGTTTGAGTAGAATGATAGTGAATTTGTCACAGGTTGGAAAAAGTAGAATTTTGGGGTTTTAGAATGGGGGTTCAAGAGGCAAGATGGAGGAATCTGGGCATGTCCTGTCCTTCTTCTTCTTCTTCTTGTCCTCCATCTTCTGCTGTGACGTTGGCACTTCTGGATTGGTTTAGAGTAGAGCCAGACTGTCTAACATAGGTGATAGGTATTGGGAAATTATTGTAAATAAAGTACAGGTAGTTCTTGGTATAAAAAGCCAACACCACCCCAAGGGCAGGGACTGTGCCACAACCCAACCTGCTGGACAGATCTCAGCAGGTCAGAGAAAGAATGTCATAGAAAAGAAAAATAAAGAATAAAAGAAAAAATAAACAACCTTGAAAACCAGAGCTGAGGAATCTCGACTTCTTCTTCGGTCGCGAGGCTGGCAAAAAAGACTTTTGATACCTTGGGAGCCATTCCAGCAACACAAAACCTGAGAAACTCCCTTTCTTCTTGCACAGGTCCCTGGCTACCGTCAGGAGCGGGTGGAGAAGGGCCTGAAGCTCTTTGCCCAGCTCATCAACAACAAGGTGTTCCTGCTGTCCTTCATCCGCACGCTGGAGTCGCAGCGCAGCTTCTCCATGCGCGACCGCGGCAACGTGGCCTCGCTGATCATGACGGTGCTGCAGAGCAAGCTGGAGTACGCCACCGACGTCCTCAAACAGCTCCTGGCCGACCTCATCGACAAGAACCTGGAGAGCAAGAACCACCCCAAGCTGCTGCTACGGAGGTAAGGATGGCTGGGCACGGAGGGAGCCGGGCTGGGAGGGCTGTGCCTGTGTTGAGGTTTCTCATGAGCAGGATGGGAGTGCTGGGAGATGTTCCTTGGGGTTTATTGTAGCCTCATTACATTTTTGAGACAATTGGAAGATGGCAATAGCTGATGTACAACCAGCAGGGGCCTAAGATTGCTTTGTGTCTTGGTTTGAAAAGACTGTCTGCTAAGGAAGGCAGGAACCTCCCCTGAAATGGAAAATGCACACCACCTCCCTCCAAATTATTATAATTTTGAAGTTAAAAGGCTCTCAGGCAAACATATGGGAATAGGAATAACAGTTCTTTAAAAGGAAAATTAAAAATACAAATGCAATAGTACAAACAACAAAAAGAAACACTGCCAGAATCAGAACATGCCCTGTCCCCTGTGTGTCAGGGGGTGGCACAGCCCCATCCCATGGGGGCTCAGCCCTCCTGCAGTGCCAGCTGTGGCTCTGCTGGAGCAGGGATCCTGCACAAGGGGGGAGTTTTCCTCTGCAGCTCCAGGGCTGCTGGAGATGGGCCTGGGCTCCCTCTGGCCATGCAGGGCAGCAGAAGCTGCTCCTCTGGCAATGCACTGGGCAAAGGCTGCTGGGCTGTGCCCAGGCTCAGATTGGATCCAGGTAGGAATGCTTGGCTCCTGCCCTGGGCAATGCAGCATCTCCCCATGGGATGCTGGGATTGGATCAGCCCTGCAGGGACACTCAGTGGCCATGGACAGCAGAGATCTCCTGCAGGGAGGATTGGCTGTGGGAGAGAGAAAGAAAAAACTGCCCCATGAACAGAGAGAACTGCCCCAGCTCTGACAGATGGGGATAGAATATCTCATTTCCAACCTAAGACACTTTGTTACAGAGCATTTAAAAAACTTTCTAGCCAATAGCATATTGCTAAAGCTTACAGGCAATTTTTCTAGCCAATTACTAAAAGCACATGTACACCTGCTTCACACAATGCTTGCTTGTATGCTTTCTATTAGCAATACACACTTAAGCTTAAAACCTTCTACCTAAACCATTATTAAGCTTAAAAGCTTCTACTATCTTGCTAAGCATATTTTTCTGCAGTCTTAAGGTCTTTCTTAGCCAAGCCTAAAACTCAAGCTATTGTTTCATGTCCTTGCTTGCTTGTACTATTGTAACTTTTTCTTCTTTCAGACTTTGCAGCTGCACCTAGTTCTAAGTTTTCTGTTCTTTCTATTTCTAAGGCCTCCTTTTACAGCTTTCTGGAAGTCTTCTTACCTTGACTATTTCCCACAGTGCCCACATAAACATCATAATCATCTTTGGAGATGTAGATCTTGCTCTGTCTCCTCCCTAACCAAAAAGTAGTCAATGATCAAAAGTTACAGAATGAATCCACCTCTGGATTTTCATGTGGATACTACAGAAAGTTTCACAAGGAGAGAAAGAGCTCAATCCTTATTTTGGGCTCTTTGTGTGCTTACAATGTTAATTTATGCTTACATTTCCTTTTAATCTGAAAGCTCCAGTCATGTTGTGTAGGAGCTATAGGCATATCACATATATGGTCTATTAAATCCCTGGTGAGAGGATGTCAACTTCCATCTCCTGCCTGGGATATGGATTTCCCAGCTTTGTTTCTTGTTCCTGAGTTAACTACAGACACCTGGAGAGTCTTCAGCTGCATTTTGGGATCTCATTTCTCTCCCAGAGCTGGGAGTTTGTGGAAATCAGCAGAGGAGAGAGGCAACAGAACTGGTTTCATCCAGGGAACAAGTTTGAATTGATGCTTCTTGGCCTGGCCTAAGGTCTAAACTCCACAGTTCTGTGGGAAACCTCAAGTTTGGAATCTCCTGCTGTGTAATTAATGTCCTTTCCTTGCCTAGGGAAGTGCTCCCTCTTCTGCCTTTAGGATCAGATTCCTCTCCCTTTCACAGACTGGATCAACCCTCCTGGTTCAAGGAGCCTACATACAATCAGGGAGGGTTTCTGGAGACGAGTGGCCTTTGCCACAGCTCAGAGCTGACTCTGAGGAGCCCCCAGATGATTACAATGGACAGCTTGGACACAGAGGAGATCTCTGGTGACCGCTGGGCTGGGGGGTTTTTCATCTGCCCACTGTGCAGAACCAGCAGAAAAGGAGCAGAAGGCACTTCCTGGCATTCAGGGCAGCAATGCCAGGGGCAGAGGCTTTGCTTTGGTGTCACTTGACTCCCTGATGTGATCAGGCCCTACAGCCTGGCTGGTGACACCCTCCAGCTGTCCCCAGGCTTCCTGCCTGTGCTTCTTCTCTGATGATGGATGGCACTGCCTCCCCCCTTCATTTCCCCCTTTTCCTTCCCCTTTCTCCATCTCTTTGTCTTCCCTTCTTGCTCACTCTGAGCATCCCATCTTCCCTCTTCCTCCTTCCTCCAGCCTTTTTCTAAGTCTAATCCTCTCTGCTGGACATTAATTGTGGCCTTTGGAAGGAGAGCCAGTGAACAAAGAAGGCACATCCAGTGTTCCAAACCCTGGGAGCACCAGGAGAAGTCAGAGAAGTCCTGCACTGGGCAGCACCAGAACAGAACATGTGAATAGCTCAGTGCCTTGGGTCAGATGTTGGTGTGAGGCCCTCAGACAGCTCTTTGGAGAAGCTGGATTCAGCTTGGTGCTTCCCTTCCCTCCCCCATGAGTCTGTGAAAGGGAACCTTTTGAAGTTTTGGAGGAGTTTGACAGAAGAAAGGAGATGAACACTGTGTCCAGTGTTCATCCTGCATGACATTTGTGGCCCCAGAGAGATTTTCTGGGCAGTGAGCAGCAGCAGCAACAAGGAAGAACCTCTGCATGGCTTATGTGAGACCCGCTTTAATGCTTCTAGGCAGGGACTCTTCTTTTTTTCTTGGTTTCCCCAGATTTCTCTTGTTTTTTCTCCAATGCATGTGCTGAAGCCAGCACAAGTTTCTGCAGGAGAAGCTCACCCTGAAGCCTGGAGATGGATTTTTGTTTGATTGAGGACAGAGCGCCCAAGGGCAGAAGGATGAGCTCTGTGTATGTGCCACAGTGACACATTGAGGAGTGCAATCACTCCCAAATGCCAGGGAGATAGGCAGTGCCAGATAACTGCTCCCCAGAGACTGAGATCTGTCTCTCCTGAGTATTTATCCAGCCTCCTTGACATATGGCCTCGCTCCGAGCTCCTCAGATTTGATGGATTTATCCGCCCTGAGCTCTTTGGAGAAGATTCCCTCAAATGTCATCAACTCCTCCTCCTTGTTGGAGACACTGGAAAACAGACACACACAGGGACTTGTAGTCACAGGAGAATCAACAGGGCAGCAAGGGTTTTCCTGCAGGTTTCCTAGATCCAAAACTAAAACAGGGATCCTAGGATGTGCTAAATCCTGATGGTGCCATGCCAGACTTCCCACTGGGCAGGAAGATGGACAAAGGCAATATTTTGATAGGACCAGCGTGACAAACTCATTCCCAATTCTCTTTTTTTCTCCACTTTAGGACAGAGTCTGTGGCTGAGAAAATGCTCACCAACTGGTTCACCTTCCTCCTCTACAAGTTCCTCAAGGTAAGAGGAGGAGCATGCCTGGAAAAACAGCTGCTGTCAAGCATTTCTTCTTGGTGAGGATCAGTTGGGGTGAAAACTTCCCAGATAACAAGTTAAAGGCTTTTTTTTTTTTATGTTGCCTCTGGAAGGAGGTCACTGCCTAATAGGAGATGGGCTATTTTCTGACCCAGGGAGAACAAAGAGGGACACACTGTTAGAGAGGCAACTTGTTGGTCCCTCTCTTGTACAGAGGTGGGATTTAAGGGTCAGCGTGGAAATGGGAAGGATTTCAGAGCCTGCCTGAGACCTGTGTGGAAAACGCTGTCCTTTTAACAGCAGACTGAGGTCTCCATCATGTGGTGACCCATATTTCCAGTGCACAGGGGATGGAGATCTTCTTCCACCCCAGCTCAGAGGCAGCACTGAGACACAGCCCCACAAGGAGTGGAGGGGCACCCATCAGCAAAGCTGTGAGAAAGAACTTGAGTGCAAGGATTTGAGGCACCCCCTGAGCTCTCTCATTCCTCCTGGAAGGTCTCCTTGGGCTTTGTGTGGTTGAAAAAAGTCTTTCAGTCTTTGAGCCCTGCCTCTGACTGTGGGGGGATCCAATTTCCCCTGCAGGACCCACACTGAGCCTCAAGAATCACAATTGCCAAGCTCAGAGCCAGCCTTTCTGCACTGCTATCCCCACTCCCACTGCAGCTGCTAAATATCCTCCCACCTCACATCCTCATTTGGACAGAATAACCACCTCTGCCAGGCAATTTGAGGCTGTACAAATAAACCCCAACCCCCCTGAGCCTTCCCCAGACACAACCAGTTCAAGGACGAGCACATGGGAAAGTTTTGAAGGTCCCTGGAAGGTAATTTCAGTGACTCCAGTATCAGATCCCTGCTTTCAGCTGAAAGGAAAGGATATAAGGAGGTGACTCTCTAAAGAGCTGCTTTTATAATAGGCTTTTTTCACCCCACTCAGCTACTTGTCTTCTTGCCTTAGCCTGAACAGAGGCCTGATAAGGGCAGGAGACAGGCACACAGAAGCAATATGCTGCTGGCAGATAAGCTAATTAAGTGGGAGACAGGTGTAGGGACTGAAAAAGGGGCCACTTTGCCTCGATTATTAACTTGTTTTCGCTGGGATTTACACCAGAGGAAAATGACCTGGCTGGTTGAGCTGGGACACGAGAGGAGAGGGCGAGGAGGGCAGGAAGGAGGGAGGGATGAAGGGGAAGGGAGGCAGGAGCAGAAAGCTCCTCGAGGTGCAGCAAGGGAGGAAAAGTGTGGGAAGAGTGAGTGGAAATGATGAGGAGGAGAAATTAGGGACAGATGAGCTGGGCTGTGCCTGCCTGGGGGTGCTTTTTGCTGTCCTGTGCTGGGCCCCACACTTCTGTCACCTCCACATGGGTCCAGAGGCACATCTGGGCCTGAGAATTGCTGTTTGCCTGCAAATTCCTGTTTGCCTGCAGCATGAGAGTGCTCGGGGAGTCTGTGGACTCTGCCCAGACACCCAGGGTGTGGCACCAGCCATCCATCTCCCTTTAAAACCTGCTTCCAGGCCATTTGGGACCCATCCCACTACCTGCTCCACCAGTGCAAAGCCCTGGCCTGGTGGCAATCACCTGAACAGGCCCAGCATTGCCAGGGAACACTGACACCCTGACACTCAAAGAGTCACAGAATAAGCTGAGCTGGAAGGGAACCACAGGGATCATCAAGTCCAACTCCTGGTGATGCACAGGACCATCCCCAAGGGTCCCACCATGTGCCCAAGAGCTTTGCACCATCAAGTTCAGTTCCTGGGGCTGCACAGGACCATCCCCAAAGGTCCCACCATGTGCCCAAGAGCTTTGTACCATCAAATCCAGCTCCTGGTTCTACACAGGACCATCCCCAAGGGTCCCAAGGCTCGGAGATAACTTCTCCATGTGCTCCCACTCCCATTCCCTTCCACATTGACCCCACATCCTGACAGGACACAGACTTCTTAATGACAGAACAGTGCTGGTGTCCTCTCAGTGCCCAAATAGTTCCATCCTTGAGTGATCCTGAAGCCCAAATGAAGCTGGTGGGTGATGGAGCAGCAACACTGCATTTGGGAAATCCACATCACAAAACTTCCCTCATATGCCCAAGAGCTTTGCACCATCAACTTCAGCTCCTGGGGCTGCACAGGACCATCCCCACAGATCCCACCATGTGCCCAAGAGCTTTGGACCATCAAGTTCAGCTCCTGGGGCTGCACAGGACCATCCCTAAGGGTCCCACCATGTGCCCAAGGGCTGGTTGCACTCTGTGGAAGCCGGGGGTCACCTCTGATCCTGTGCTGTTGGAATGGACTGGTTCCCATTGATATCCACCATGAGCCATTTGGGTTGGCGAACCGAGGCACTCACTGGGATGCCCAGGCTGGACTCTCAATTCCAGCCTGCAGTTTCACCTGGTGGTTACCTCTCATCCCTGCAGGAGTGTGCTGGAGAGCCTCTCTTCTCCCTTTTCTGTGCCATCAAGCAGCAGATGGAGAAGGGCCCCATCGACTCCATCACGGGGGAGGCGCGGTACTCGCTGAGCGAGGACAAGCTCATCCGGCAGCAGATCGACTACAAGACCCTGGTGAGTGCTCTGGGCACACCTTCCCCTGGGCTGATCCACAACCCTCTAATGCCTAAAGGGCATTTAGACAGCAGAAACCAGTGGTTGAACCTCTGGGGTGATTTATTCTTGTGTTTTAGTAGGGTAATTCTGCCTAAGGGGGGGCACGAAAATTTAAAAATGATGAGGATTTCAGCATCAAGGAATAGTCAGAGGTGCACAGTGCAGGTCAGCTCTAGAGCTGGTGCAGCCCTCCCTCCTGAGAAAGCACAAGTCAAAGAAAAAGGAACTTGATTTAAAGATTTCAAGGGAAAGAAAACCAATCCCTGTCACTGAGCCATTTCTCCCAAAATGGAATTGTCTGCATAGGGTAAGATACACATTGCATATGTGCAGCTTTAGCTTCTGCTCTGAGATTACACCCTCTTCCCACTTGATTAAAGAGCATCAATTAAAGAGCATTAGATATCTCTTCTTAGGGTGTTTGTGGGCCTTCATTCTTCCCTGGATGCATTAAATCCACTCTAAGTCTCTGCTGGATGAAGAACACTTTCTAAGCCTTCAATGATCCTTGTAATTTTTCTATTTCCCATCTTTATTCTCAGCAAATCCCAAGTTTAAGGACAGTCGGAAGATTCTCTAAACTGATCAGATTATTTTATTTGCACTTTCAAATGAGGGAAATTCATCTCACTTAGCTCCAGATACCTCTGAGGGCTGTGTCCAATCACAGAATCATGAGGTGGTTTGGGAGGGGACCCTAAAAGATCATTTAGTTCCAAGTCTTAGACCTTAACCTGTCTTAGACCTGTCTTAGACTTTAGCCCAGGCAGGTTGATGCTAGAAATGCCCTTCCATGTTTTTCAACTCCATTCTAGAGCTGAGCTTTGATTGAATCCAAGTCTGATGAGGGGGTGGACTTAATTCTTAAATAAGGCCACAGTTGTATTCTGCATATTAAAAACGTGACTTTCCTACTGAATTGGCAAGAGTGCTGCTTCTCTGCTGTTATGTGTGGCTGTCTAAAATTTCAGAAGACTGATCACACATGGAGAAAATGAGCAGAAAAGAGGAAAAAATGCAGCCACAGAGTGATCACTTTCACCGAAGGAAATCCCCCCCGATCCTTTTAGGCTTGATCTGAAGCAGCCAGCAAAGGGTAGTAATTATACATCAGGCTGAACAAAGCTCTCCTCTGCTGGCTTTGTGCTGTTTGATGATAATCAGCTCTCCCTCTTACATCTCAAGAGCAGACAAATATACCCCGATAGGAATCTCAGCAGATTTACAGAGATCAGCTCTGGTGAAGGAGATTAGGAAGGAGCAGAATATGAATAGGATTGTTCTTCATTTCTGTTTCTCTTTATTTCTGTTTTATTTTGTCCTTCTTCTACCTTCCTTGAGCTGCCTGACATCTTTTATTAAAAATATAGAGTAATGAAATAAAGCCAGAACTGATTCAGTGGTTGCAATATGGGAATTCCAACAGAAAAATGGAGAGAGAATATTTACAGAGGCCTGGAGTGACAAGACAAGAGGGAATGACTTCAAACTGAAAGAAAATAGGTTTAGATTGGAAATTAGGAAAAAAAAAAATTCTACCCTGTGAGGGTGTTGAGGCCCTGGCACAGGGTGCCCAGAGAAGCTGTGGCTGCCCCTGGATCCCTGGCAGTGTCCCAGGCCAGGCTGGACAGGGCTTGGAGCAGCCTGGGATGGTGGAAGGTGTCCCTGCCCATGGCAGGGGTATAGAATTAGATCACCTTTCAGGCCCTTCCAACCCAAACCATTCTACAATTCTATAATTCTCAAAATGCTTTCCTATGCTTGGCTTTTTTGGGGTCTTTCTCCTTTTTCTCCACCAAGCCTCACTGTATGAAAACCCCATGGAACATTCCGGCCTAATACAGAGGTGAGAGAAGGATTTCTGTCCCTGAGACTAGAACTGCAGAGATATCCTGGTCTCAGGAAAACCACTCAAACTCAGAACCATGGGAGTAATCACAAGCTGTGCCTTTATTATTTAAATGCCACTAATGTGTAGTGGAAATCAGGGCTTAGCTGAGCCAAGCTTTGCATGTATACAGACACTCAGAGACAGATCATGGCTGGAAGAGCTGGCAGATAAAAAAAATGCCCAAGGATGGAGTAAAAGGTCAATAAACACAAACCCAGAGAAATGAGATGTCCCAAGGCCACACAGAGTCAGTAGGAGAGCAGGGCTCGGAGATAACTTCTCCATGTACTCCCATTCCCATCCATGCTGACCCCACACCCTGATGGGACACAGAGTGACAGAACAGTGCTGGTGTCCTCTCAGTGCCCAAATAGTCACATCCTTGAGTGACCCTGAAGCCCAAATGAAGCTGGTGGGTGATGGAGCAGCAGCAGCCCTGCATTTGGGAGATCCATATCACAAAACCTCCCTCAGAGTGACCAATCCTGTAGGAGCACAAGCCATCACGGGGTCTCTTCCCCACCAGCTGACATCAGAGATTGTGTTGAAGGCTCTGAGCAGCACTGCTGGAGCAGTGGGATTTTGCTTTGGCTTGAGTATGGAGAAAGGTTTCATACTCCACATGAGAACAGCTGGAAAACTCCACTGGAAAGATGGGGAATATGTGCCAAAGCCACTGTGCTCCAGGAGTGGGGTTGGCTTCCTTTACTGGGGTTTGAATTCCCTAAAATGTTTTGGAGGGACACCCTTGACAGTCATTGTAAGGAACACAGAGGTGTTTTGGGGTTTTCAGGGGTCACCAACTGCCCCATCTGTGCTTGGAGCACACGAACAGCCCTTGGGAGAATTGCCCGCCCTGCTCCTTCTTCCAGCTGAGCTGGAAAAGAGGGAAGCAAGGATTACTGCAGCCAGGGTGGGATTGAGTGTGGCTCACTCAGGCAGAGTTTTCCTGGCACCTTCTAAAGTTGATGCATCCCTGTGAAATTCCAGGATAACCCAGATCAAGTACCCATTGTCACCTTCCAGCTGGGTGCTGGTGTGGGGACACTGCTCAGCACCTGCAGGAGATGTTGGGGTCTTCTGCCCCAGCTGCTGGCCTGGCAGGGCAGCTCAGATCATTTTAAAGAACACCAAGTGCCTTCTGTGGGGAACTGACCCAAAATCCAGCTGTTTTTATCAGAGATTATAGCACCACAGAGCTTCCCCTGACTGGCACCAGCTGATTTTAGCTGAGCTCAGACCACTGAGAGAGAAACCTGGAGAGTAACTTGGTCCCCAGAGCCAGGTGTGACCCCAAGGAGCTGTCCCAGGCTGCCATCACTGCTCCATTTCCCTGTGATAGAATAATTTTATCTGGAAAACATCTTTAAGATCATTAAGATCCTAAACTAAACACCAGTGCAGGCTCTCAGCAATCAGGTGGGATTTTCTGGATGCACCCAAGAAGTTTGCAGAGGAAGAGGTTCCTGTGGGCTGGGAATGGGCATAACCCAGGAGAGCTGCAGACCAACTAATGGCCTTCAACACTGGATTCATTTCAACAGTTTTGTGTACAATTCTGTGATCCTTTGAGATGAAAGATGCCCCAGAACTGTAAATCTCTGCTGTTATTATGATCTGAATTGATGATGCTTTTTCAATACTTCTGGAAGTGACATACAAATAATAACATTATGATCTAATCAATATCTCCTATTTACATCTCCCCTTTCATCCAGCAAGATCACAGAGCTCTTTGTGAGCAGTATCTTCACAAGTCTCTCTTGGCTGAGCACAACATCACCAAAGGGAGCCTGGTGAGGCAGTGTGTAATTAGGCTGATAGGATTTCACCCCTTTTTTGAGTTCCCACTGTATTTTTGGAGGTGAGGATGGAAAGTGATGGACAGTCCAGCACCTCTTGCATGCTACAGAAGGGAATTTAAGTCAAGGTAAAATTTGTCTGAGGCACCAAAACCAACATATCTGCGCTTGTAAAAGTGCCACTGGAACATTTTAATGACCATGTACAGCCTGGAGCATCACTGAACACCCCTTTCAAGTGCAAAGGTGTGCTAAGTTTATAAAACTTTACAGACTTCACACCTGTGCCACCAGAAATGAGCAGAATGGTCAAGAGAGACACAGGCAAGGCTTAGCAGGGAAATTGCTGTTAAATACTCTGTATTTAAGGTATCCCCCCTCACCACATGCTTTGCATTTATTCTTGGACAGAGCCGAGAAAATCAAATTTTCCTTCTGAGAAAAGAGAGGCCTCTCCACTTGGGTTGATTTTCTTCTTCTGTATGTGAAAGCAAAGGTTGCTGATGTTGGTTTGTGTTCCATTTCTTATGGAGCCCTGCATTTCAGATTAATAACATTCTTCTGAGGAGGGTCTGCTCAGCTCCATGGCTGTGCAGATGGACAAACATAGAGCTTTTCACTGGGATTATCAAAACCAGGTGGCAGTGCAAGGAGGCCACTCCTGAATTATGTCACCTTGACATCTCAATAAACATTTTTTACTGAAAGCACTCAGCTGGTGTTCATGGATTTTCTGCTCTTAAGAAAGAAATTCTTCCCTGTGAGGGTGGTGAGGGTTAGAGGTGCCCAGAGCAGCTGTGGCTGCCCCTGGATCCCTGGCAGTGCCCAAGGCCAGGCTGGATGGGGCTTGGAGCAACCTGGGACAGTGGAAGGTGTCCTGCCCATGGCAGGGAGTGAAATGAGGTGATCATTGAGACCCCTTCGGACCCAAACCCTTCTGTGACTCCATGATTAAATAGAATGAAGACCCTCCCAGGTGAAACCACACCTCTGTGCCTGTGTGAGGGAGGGAATACCCTTGGCACCCATTTTTATGGCAGTCATATTTTCTGGAAAAACCCCTTTGCCCAGGATTTTCTTCTGGGAAGCCTCAGAGAAAAAGGAAAACAATATTATCTGATTTGCTTCTCCTGTGTTGTGCTGCTTTGGAATGTGGTTGGAGATTGTTTATCCAACAGGTGATTGTTTCATTGGTTTCATGGGAATTGTTCTGACTTAATGACCAATCAGGGTCAAGCTGTGTCAAGGCTCTGGAAAGAGTCACGAGTTTTTCTTTAGTATCTTTTTAGCCTTCTATCTGTATCCTTTAGTATAGTTTAGTATTCTTTAATATATTCTAGTATCATAAAATAATAAATTAGCCTTCTGAGAACATGGAGTCAGATTCATTATTTCCCTCCTGCCACAGGGCACCCCATAAATACAACAATTTTTTACACCCTAGACCCCTCCTGTAGGATGCAGACACCACGAGGGGGGGCAGCCAGAGGGTTTCAGTGCCCTGTGCAAGGTGTGGTGCCTCTCCCTCAGGTGCTGAGCTGCGTGAACCCCGACAACGTGAACAGCCCCGAGATCCCGGTGAAGATCCTCAACTGCGACACCATCACCCAGGTCAAGGAGAAGATCCTGGATGCCATCTTCAAGAACGTGCCCTGCTCCCACCGGCCCAAAGCTGCTGACATGGACCTGGGTAGGAGATTGCTGCTGGCCGGGGGGGGGACAGGGGAGCTGGGAGATGGACAAACTCCATCCAGAGACTTTGCTCTGGACAAAGACCATAGAGGTGTTTGGGGGTTTTCAAGGGTCACCAACTGCCCCATCTGTGCTTGGAGCACAAGAATTTTGTCTTATCTATCAAGAGGTCTATTATCATTATAGTGCAAGGATTCTATATCACCAGAGTTTCATACTTCCTCAGTGTTTCTCATAGGCAGTTCCTCTAAGCACTGACTCTTCCTGGTCCTTGCAGTAACCATCTGACTCCTGATCCCACCAATCCACTCTTTTATAACACTGTTCTCATTGGCTACAGGTGTGGCCTGTTAACATCAGGCCTGCTCCTAATTTCTAATTTGGTTCCGCTGCAACTCGTTGGGGGATAAGATTACATTCCAGACCACTTCCATTTACCCATACTGTATCCCCCTACACAAGAACAGCCCTTGGAAGAATTTGCCTTCCCTGCTCCTTCTTCCAGCTGAGCTGGAAAAGAGGGAAGCAAGGATTACTGCAGCCAGGGTGGGATTGAGTGTGGCTCACTCAGGCAGAGTTTTCCTGGCACCTTCTAAAGTTGATGCATCCCTGTGAAATTCCAGGATAACCCAGATCAAGTACCCACTGTCACCTTCCAGCTGGGTGCTGGTGTGGGGACACTGCTCAGCACCTGCAGGAGATGTTGGGATCTTCTGCCCCAGCTGCTGGCCTGGCAGGGAAGCTCAGATCATTTTAAAGAACACCAAGTGCCTCTCTCCACACCCCCTGCAAGGCAGAGAAATCACAGTGAGAGGGCAGAGGGGATATTTTGGTGATGTTTATGCTCCTTGCTTAGGAAATCTTTGGCCTTAAAAAGACCAACACCATGCTTTTCTGCCCAGAGAATTCATCCTTGGCAAAGGTCTGGAAAAAGCATGAGTGGGGCTGTTCTTGTTCTCTTGCCAAAGATCCCTGGAAAAAAGATACCTGGAGAGAGAATGCTGGGAGTAATCTGAATTTGGTGTCCACAGGAAGGTGATGTACCACACCTGGAGAATATGGAAAAAATGTAGAAAAATCTGGAGGATATGAAAAATTGTAGAAAAATCTGCTCAGGCCATTGCTGAGATGTCTGGTGGAGAGCTGGGGACTCCATTGTGGCTGAATCTGCCAGAATTTGCTCTCAGTGACCTTCAGTGAAAGAGACTGGGCTGTAAAATGATGAAGTCTATAAAACCAGCTGAGCTGTAGAGGAACCAAAAGGAGAAGGAATGGACCAAGGCCAAGAAACGATTCGCAGCAATAATGAAGGCAGCAATGAGAGGTCAGGGATTGAAGTTAAGTGTCTGAGTGTGCGTATGTGTAGGGGAGGGAGGAGTTCCTGACAGAAATTGCCCATCAAAGGCAGTTAGAATAACGAAAGAAGCTGCCAAAACCAGCAGCAGTAAAGAGCAGATCACGTACATCATCCAGAAAAGGACCCACGATGGCTCTGGAGTGCTGAGAGGTGGGGAGAGCCTGGGGGAAGGCAGGGCAGGGTGCCAGGGCACAGCACACCACAGGAATGGGGCTCACAGCCACATCTCCTGGCCCATCTGGTGGTCACAGAGAGCAATTCCTGCAGATCTCAGGCTGGGTGTGGCTGGGGATTGTTTGTTCTGCTGTGACGATGGAGGATGTGTCCATAATGAGATGCAAGAATTTTACCTGCACACTGTAAATACAGGGATTAACTGGATTCCACTTTAGTTCTGGGAACCAGAAGTGTGTGTGTTTGTGTGTGTGTGTGTGTGCAGGTTTCCAGCTGGAGGCTGACAATTCTGCATCCAGAATTGCTGCTGGTTTAGGAAATAGTGACCTCTTCAAGACCAGACTGGACAGGGCTTGAAGCAACCTGGTCTGGTGGAGGCTGTCCACAGAAAGGGGTTGGAACTTTCAGATCCCTTCCCACCCAGCCCAGTCTGTGATTTTATCACATCCTGAGTGGTGCTGAGGAGCAGAAAGTTCCAGAAAGTTGGCATGAGCATGTGCACCCCCTCAGAGAACAGGCTTGCCCACAGTGACAGCAGACTGGCTATTGGGCAGCTCTGGGAAACAATTAAATTAGTTTATATTTTAATTGTTAAAATATAAACTAATTTATATATACCTCTCGATGAGGCAGCTCGGGGGGGGGAAACAATTAAAATATAAACTAAAAACCCCTTATCCAGTAGAAGATAGCAGCAATGCAGATAACAAGGTGGGAGGAGCATGGGTGAAACAGGAACAAGAGTGTGGCATTCACATTCTCTAAAAAAATCCCTTCACACAGGATTTTTCTCCTGGGAAGCTGAGAAGCCTCAGAGAAAAGGAAAACAATTCTTATCTCATTTGCTTCTCCTGTGTTGTGCTCACATGTGGAATGTGGTTGGAGATTGTTTACCCACAGGTGATTGTTTCATTGGATTCTGGTGTGAGTTGTTTTCACTCTTTGGCCAATCAGGGCCAAGCTGTGTTGAGGCTCTGAAAGGAGTCACGAGTTTTCATTATTCTTTTTTTAGCCTTCTATAAGTATCCTTTCTGTATTCTTTAGTACAGTTTAGTATAGTATTCCATAATATAATATAATATAATATATTAACCTTCTAAGAACATGGAGTCAGATTCATCATTCCTTCCTTCATCTGGGGGGAGCACAAATACAAGAGGGTCCACACACCCAGCCACAGCTCCATCCCAGCTTCTCCTCAAGGAAATGATGCTCCTTGGCACCTGGCATCCTTCAGAGATGCTGAAGGCAGCAAGGGGAGTGCAGAAAGCCCTGCAGGCCCTCAGGAGCCATCCCAGAGCTCTCAGGATCAGCCTGCACTGAGCTCAGGGCTGCAGAGGGGCTGGAGCAGAGCAGGGCAGAGCAGATGGCTGCAATCTGGCCTTGGAACCCGTGGCTTTCAAACAGCAGCATCATTTCCTGCTCCCATCACCATTTTCTGGGCTTTCTGTCCACGCTCAGGCCAGATTGCTCACATGGCAGAAAGCAAACAAGCTAATGAGTTGTTTTGAGCTGTTAAATGCAGGGTAGCTGCAGGCAGAGGGACTTGTGTGTGTGGCAAATGTCACAACGTTTGGCAGTTGCCCAGGCAACTCCTGGAGGGGGTTGTCAGCTGAAAGCCTTGATTTTTGGACACCCTGAGGTTAGGTTTTAGTCCAAACCCCCAAATTGGAGCTCTCTGAGTAATGGCTTCTTTCCACAGTGATGATTTTTGTTATTATCATTTTTAAAAGATCTCTCCCACACATGAAACACCCCATCTTTGGGAAAGCAGCAAGGTGTGAGGGTCACCAAACAGGAATGTGGCTTCATGCCGAGGTGTTTGCTCTTCCCTGGGCTCTGGATGCTTTTTGGAAGGTGGTGCTGAGGTCAGAGGTGGAGGGAGGGAGGGAGCTGTTGGCTTGGCTTGCTCTCAGTGATGCTGTCCCAGGTTCATTGTGGACCATGCCAGGTGAGATTTCACTGCCTCACCAGCCCTGCAGTGCTGGGATGTGTGTTCATTTAAACTGGAAGCATTTAGACTGGGTCTAACTGCAGTATGTGTAGGGTAAGACAGAGAGTTTGCATTCATCTCTCCTGAAGACAGGCTGGGAGAGCTGGAGGAGACCCCAGAGAGACTTCAGAGCAACTTCCAGTGCCTAAAGGGGCTTCAAGAGAGCTGGAGAGGGACTCTGGGCAAGGGCCTGGAGTGACAGGACAAGGGAAAATGGTTTAATACTAAAAGAAGGGAGTTTTAGATTAGATTTTAAGACAGAAATTCTTCCCTCTGAGGGTGATGGGGCCCTGGCACAGATTACCCAGAGCAGCTGTGGCTGCCCCTGGATCCCTGCAATGTCCAAGGCCAGGCTGGATGGGGCTTGGAGCACCCTGGGACAGTGGAAGGTGTCCCTGCCATGGCAGGGGTGGCACTGGGTGATCTTTAAGGTCCCTTCCAACCCAAACCAATCTGTGATTCTATGATTCACTCCATACAGGATGAAATATTTCTCTGTCATTTTTCAGCTCCATGTTCTGAGATAAACTTTTGTTCCCATCCCTTTCTCCACCCCAGAAACAGAGCTGAGTTTCACCTCTCTTCCTAGGCCTGGATCAGAGGGAGATGTAACATTTCCTGTGGGATTTGAGGTGCAGGGTGACATCTCCCCATCTTCCCTCTCCCCACAGAGTCACCCCCTTAGCCAGGCACTGCTGCATTCACCTCATTGCCAAAGGGCCCCTGGAATTTCCTTTTTCCCAGTCAAGTTGAACAGAAAGGTTGTTCCTTAAAAAAAAAAAAAAAAGAGAGAAAAAAAGGAGCAAAGAAGTAATTCCTGCGTGCAATAAAAAGATACACTATCTGCTGAATGAAATATAAAGGCTTCACAGCAGCTGTCTCCTGAGTTTGCATTTACCACTGCTCCTGATTGGAAGGCTTGATAAAGTTAATGGGATTTTTACCTCCCTCCCCCTCTCCTCCCTCTCCCTGGAAGGTGGGAGTGTAACAAATTGGATTGGAGTGTGTCTGTCCTTTGTGCTGGATCCCAGCAGAGAGGGGACAGGGTGCTGCCAGCAGGACAGAGCTGGCAGGGCTCACTTAATGCTGTGAGCATGGATGGCAGGGTCACCTTCTCCCTTCCCATTTCCTTGCAGGTCTGTTTGTGGCCCCCTGAGCTCGTGGAGAAGGGGAGCAGTGAGGCCAGGAAGAGTTGGGGACAGCTGGGGATCCTTTCCCTGTCATTGCTCAGGTGCTCAGTGAACTATCAGAGGTGAAGTGATTTGTGTTTGGGCAGGGAAATCAGGAAATCAGGCTGTAAAACTGAGACTGGAGACTCCAAGCCAGCCCTGGAGCTTTTCCTCTTTGTTTTGTGCAGTCAGGCTGGCCCTGAGTCTTCCTCACATGGCCCTTCCGTGCAGGAAGGCCAAGAAAGGGCTCAGGAATCCCCTGAGTCTGCACAAAAACCTTGAGGAAACATCTCAGGGTGTCCCTGGAGCAGAGGGAAATGTGCTCTGAGCACCTTGCTCAGCCCTGGGATAAAGCCCAGGATAGCTCAGTGAACTATCAGAGGTGAAGTGATGTGTGTTTGGGCAAGGAAATTCAGGCTGCAAAACTGAAACTGGAGATTCTAAGCCAGCCCTGGAGGTTTTCCTCCTTGTTTTGTGCAGTCAGGCTGGCCCTGAGTCTTCCTCACATGGCCCTTCCCTGCAGGAAGGCCAAGGAAAGGGCTCAGGAATCCCCTGAGTCTGCACAAAAACCTTGAGGAAACATCTCAGGGTGTCCCTGGAGCAGGGGGAAATCTGCTCTGAGCACCTTGCCCAGCCCTGGGATACAAATAAAGCCCAGGACAGGGAAAGCTGTGCTCAAAAACCTGTGCATCCCTCCCAAAACACGAGTGTGTGTCTCTCCAAAGGTGAGCCAGGGCAGAAAACATTCAGAAACAGGAATATGCAGAGCCATGAAGGAGGGAGGTCAGAGTGACACTGTCCTCATGACCTCATGAGGAAAGCACACGAGAAACACTCTGTGACAGCAGAATTGGCTTTGGCCTTGAGTGGGGCACTTTCTAAGAGCACCATTTCCCATCCCAGCCCAAACTTCAGCATTTTTTTCTCTTCTAAGCAGTGTGTGGGAGCAGTTGGACGGCAGGGAATGAGCAGAGAGCATCATCCTCAGACCCCACAGGGGTGATGTAGGTGCAGTGGTTTTCAATAGTTTATTCTATTTCTTTACTTTGTATTTGGTGTATGGTATGGGATATGGTACACTCAATGTTATGTTCTTTAGTTTGGGTGCTGATAAGGTTGGTTTTGAAATGAGCTTTGTTGCTTGATTCAGTTTTTTTAGGGGTTTTATGTTTTTAAAAGATTTGTTTTTTAAGACCTAAGATGGTGTTACAGGACATAGCATGAAGTATAGGGTAAGTCTCTAATTATTTAGTGGTGGTTTTAATTATTGTGAGTACACAGTGTTTACCTTGGTGTGTTTGGGGTAGTGTGATGTAGTTAATTTGTTAGGCTTTTCTATATTCATATTTGGAATATTGTCTGCTATTCTGTATGGCTTTTATTTGTTTGGTTTGTTTGATGGTAGTCTCACAGTTATGGATAATCTGAGAAATACTGTTTTTGGTTAGGTTTATTCTTTGGTCTTGTGCTTACTTGTAGGTGGTATCTCTACCTCCTTAACGTTCCTGAGCTTCTTTCACCTTTAACATTTGTTTTTCACAAGAGTGTGCACAGTTTTCTAGTAGCTAGAAGCTCTCCATCCCTTCCATCAATGCCTCCCATGCAAAACCACCCCAGCAGGTGAGGATGTGAGGAGCTGCAGGAGCTGAAGGGCAGTTCAGGATCAGTTCTCAGCCAACACAACCTTTGCTCACCCTCAGTGTCTCCAGCCAAAGTAACACCCAGCAATAAGCACAGTTGCTGACCTCTCCCTGCTAATTTCAATGAATAATAAAGGCAAGTGCAGCTTTCCCATTGCATTTTAATTATGTGATAAGAAAAGTGCTGAAACCAAAAGAAATTCGCAACGGTCCTTGCATTTTTATATTGGGAAAAACAAACAAGCGCGGCAGGTGAAGTCTCCATATCCAAGAGTTCATTTTAATTAACTCCTGCAAATTAATGGACTTTTTGCTGTGGCTCTGGCTAAGCTGTATTTGGTTGGGTCACTGTGACTGAAATGTGGCAACCAAGAATGGTCCAGGTTGATGAAGGCACAGGAAGAATTCCTCTCTTTTTGGTCATGTTCATGTTTTCCTTGCTTTAGGCAATTCCATGAGCCCTCTGTGGGGAAAGCTGTAGCAATCCTCCTCAGGGCTCCAAGATCTCAGAAGTCTTTTCTAACCTTAATGATTCTGTCATTTTATGGAGTTTTCTTCAGGATTTGAGCAAAAAATGGCACCCTGGGAAGTGGGGGGCTGCTCCAGTGCTGCAGGAATTCATAATTCCAGAGCAGAGGCTGCAGAAGTGGCAGCAGAGAGAGCCCTCCTGCCCACAAGCAGGTGCTGAAGACCCTGGCTTTTCCCCCTAGTTGTGCCCCTGCTATTGTTGCCTAATATCAAAAGAGAAAAACTCTTGCAATGGTGTTAAAATACTAAAATAAAAAGCAGACCTTTATCTGGAAGCTTCCAGGGGTCTCAGTGGTCATGGGTATGCCCAGTGTTGCCTTTCTACAAGTTTTATAAGTTTAACAAATTATCATATCTAACAAACATTTGCCAATTGGAAGAGCAGTTGGTCAGACAATTTTTCCCCTGGATTCAGAATTCAGGCAGTTTTCCCCCTGGATTCTGCTCCATTGGAGTTGATCCAGGGCTTCTTTGCCCCATTTCTTGTTGAGTCTTCTCAGATTCTGACCAGAAAACAAAGTTTCCTCTTGTAGGTCCTCTCCTTGAAAATAAGACTAAACAGTATTTCAGGAATGTGTTAGAAGCTCAGCTTATTATTTTAAAATCTAAGAGGAAGGGCAGGAAAAATCCTAGGAGATAGGTAACTATGGAATAGCAGTCTACACAGCTACAAACATATGAAAAATATATAAAAAAATTTTGGACGTTGCTATGCCTGTACCTAAGGGCTTTCTGCTGCCCATCAATGGATTTGAGATGGAAGAAGCATTTTGGGAGCACCAGTGGGCATGAGCGGAGCTCAGCACAGGGGTTCTGTGCCCAACCAGACTCTGCTGTGCCCAGGGGACCCCTGTCTGGGCTGGGTCCTGGTAGAGACACAGATCTCAGGCACTGCTGAAGGCTCTGTCTGTGCTGTGAAAGGAGACAGCACCAGGATTTCTGTCCCTGGAACAAGTGGCATTTGCTCCTGTCCCATGGGGATGACAAACACAGCAAGGGCAGGCTGGTCTTGGGGACAGCCGTGTTGGAGCACGAGCAGAGCTGTGAGTAAATCAAGAGTTAAGGACTGTGAATAATCAGGGTGTAGAGATGATGAGTGATGTGCCCACACAGGTGTGTCCACGTGGATTCTGGGCACAGAGAGTGCCAGGGCTCTGTCCCTGTGATGCCATTTTTGTCTTTTTATTTCTATGCTCCCTGTATTATTCACTCATCGCTCTCTGCAGCTCCTGAAAGGTGCCTGTGCTCAGCTGGGCCTGGGCTCTTTCTCCAGCAGCACTGACACAGCCAGAGCACACAGCCTCCAGCTGAGCCAAGGGAAATTCAGGCTGGAGAGCAGGAAAAAGCTTTTCCAGCAAGGGGGATAAAGTTCTGCAATGGCTGCCCGGGGAGGTGGTGCAGTCCCCAGCCCTGGGTGTGTTTGACAGCCTGGATGTGGCACTGGGTGCCAGGGGCTGGGCTGGACTCCATGGCCTTGAAGGTCTCTCCCAAGCCAGGGATTCTGTGAATTCACACATATATTGGTAGCCCTGTAGCCTATTATATTTGTGGCTAGATTTCCCAGTAATTTTCCATGGCCTTTCCCTAGGCAGAAAGACAAAACAAATCCCAGAGCCCCAAGCCCCAGGAGGTGCAGGGTCCCAATGCTATCTTGGTTCTTCCTGGGAATCAAGGTTGAAAACAACTTTTTGAGTTACATTCTCATGGACAAAGTACATCCAGTGCCAAGGGGAGGCTCTAGAGAAGGGAATTGCATCACCACTTGTCCTCCTAACTGGTGCTTTTTATCAATTATGCTAATTTCCTAAAACCTATACAATCATACTCACTCCTGGGAGGGGTGCAGACTTTTGTGGACATCTTTCCACAACTGCCCCTGAAGGTCTTCAAATCAAGATCAGCTCTTGTATTACTAAATATTACCAAAATTATCTCGAGTTTCATTTCCAGGTTGGGAAAAAGGCAACAAACACCTGTCTCATTAATTAATTAATTTATTTATTTATTTATTTATTTTCTCCTTGCAGAGTGGCGGCAGGCGAGCGGGGCGAGGATGATCCTTCAGGATGAGGACATCACCACCAAGATAGAGAACGACTGGAAGAGACTCAACACCCTGGCACACTACCAGGTATCTGTGGGAGAGGGTGGGCAGGAGTTGGGTCTTCTTTCTGCCAAAGCAAAAAGCAAAATGTTATTGTCTTGCCCAGGGAAGTGGTGGAATCAGCACTCCTGGGAGCATTCAAAGACTTGTGGATGTGGCACTTGGGGAGGTGGGCTGGTGGTGGCTTTGACAGTGCTGGGTGAACAGCTGGGCTCGATGATCTTAAAGGTCTTTTCCAACCTTAAGAATTCTGTGGTTTTTATTGTGCTAGGGAGCAGAGGTAAGGAGTGGTTGAGTGGGAAGTAACTGGGCAGAACCCCCATGCTGTCCTTGTCCCATTTATCCTGAACAGCACTAGAGAGGAAGCCAAGGGTAGAAAAAAAATCTTTTTTTCCCTCTCAAAGGACACCCCTGGTGAGTGGAGGTGGTGAAGAGGAGATGAGAACAACACAAGCTAATATTTCTCATGCAGGCAAACAAATCAAGGCCTCTCATGCCCCTTTTTCCAATGTATCCATGACCTTTTAATGCAAGCAGAAATCAGAAGGAAGGAAGAGGGAAAAATGGAAAGAGGGAGGCTTAGTGGTTGGAAAAGGGAGGTGGAAAACAGCATGGCAGGAGAGCATGGAGCAGTGGAGTTGTTATTGCAAGGAACTTTTTGATCTTTAACCTGGTCCAGGTGACCTGCTCTGCTTCCCTTCCTCCCTGCATGACCTGAAATTCATAATAGAGGGTTAGAGATGTCTGAAAATGTCTTACACAAGTGGTAGATTTAATGAAAAAAGTGAAGTTTTGGTCAAAGTCTTCTCCCTTGAAAAAAAAACACCAGCAAAAAAGACCTCATTAAATTTAATCCGATGCTGACGATTTTGTCATTTCCTCCATCACACCTCAGCAACCTCTGCTTCATAACAAGATTATTTTCTCTTGTCACTTAAGAGCTGAGCTGAGGAGGCAGCAAGCAATAATTTGAAAAGGAAACAAAACTTTTACTTCAGATTGACTAAAGCATTGCTGGCTGATTTTGATTTGATTTTCTTTTTCCCCCAGACAGAGCAAGGACGTTTCCTGCTTTATTTCATCAGCAAACCAGGCATAATTTTCTTCCCTCTCTGTGCTTTTTCCATGTTTTCTTTGCTTCAGGCAATGAGCTCCCAGCTGTATGATGAGCTGGGCCAGGTCCTCAGGAAACATCATTTTCCTGGCTGTCCTGGAGGCTGACACAGATCATGCTGGGACAGACACTGAGATTGCCTTTGCCTCAGTTTCCCCATCTGCGGTGTGGGGCTAAAACTACAAAGAGCCAATAATTGCCTTCCGTGATAGCTGAGGGGCTATTTAATTAGCCTCTGCAGTGCTTTGAAGATGAAAAACTCCATGCAAGTGCTAATTATTATTATTATTATTACACAGACAAGAGTTAGATGTCATTAGAAGGGATTTTTTTTTACCCATCTCCTCTTTATGATGTCTTATTTATCACAGATGTTCCTGATATGGCTCTTTTGAGCCATGGGCTTGTTAACATTTCTGACATGGGACCCACATGGTTTGCCTTGTTGTAGAAACAGAAAGCCTGGCTCCTTTAAAAAAGTCCTGTGGTCCCTCAAAACATTGTCCCACGACATCCTGGACATCAGGCACTCCAAACCTGCTGCTTTTTCACCCTCTGACACCACAAAGAGAAAGAAATTGTGGCTGTCCCTTCAGCCCAGCAGTGCCTTTGTCACAGGGAAGGGTGACAGGATCATAGTGGAAAATTGCAGACAGGAGTTTTTGAACCAGGCACCCAGATATCACCTGCAATCCAGGAGGAAGAAATGGAACATTTCACATCAGTTTTATCATCCTAATGGAACAGCCAAACCTGTTTGCAGTAGCTCAGATGATTTTATTATTCTCATGCTCCTTCTCTGCCTAAGAGCTTCCCTGGGATGAACCTATTGTCAGATTTACTGAGGTTAATGCAAAAACCACCCCTGGAAGTGCTTAAAAGGCCTCTGGATGTGGCCCTTGGGGACATGGCTTAGTGGTGAACACAGTGGGGCTGATTAATGGTTGAACTCCATGATCTTAAAGGCCTTTTCCAACCTAAATGACTCAGTGACTCACACTGTCGTCACTGGGCTTTGAATCAGGGCCTGGATGGAGCAGAATCTGTTTGTCACCACTTGTCCCTTTGTCCAAGTGCAGATTCTGGCTGCAGATTTTGTCCCTTTTTATTACTAGACCAACTCAACAAAGCAAGAAATCGAAGCTTTGAGGGTAAACTGTGCCCTGCCTACAGAGACACTGATTTGCAGCTCATGCTGCCCTGGGCATGGTCCTCAGCCACTTTTCAAAAGTTCATTGACTCAGTTTATCCTTTTTTTAATGCAGGTCCCAGATGGATCTGTGGTGGCTTTGGTCTCCAAGCAAGTCACTGCCTACAACGCAGTCAACAACTCCACGGTGTCCCGGACGTCAGCCAGCAAGTATGGTAAGGGTTTGTGTGTCTTGGGTTTCTGTGGTTGAAATAACCCCCAAGGTATTAGAAAGTCTTTTCCCCCAGCCCCACAACAGAAGAAGAAGTCGAGATTCCTCAGTTCTGCTTTTCAGGGTTGTTTATTTTCTCTTATCTATGACATTCTTTCTCTGACCTGCTGAGATCTGTCCAGCAGGTTGGGTTGTGGCACAGTCCCTGCCCTTGGGGTGGTGTTGGATTTTTATACTAAGAACTACCTGTACTTTATTTACAATAATTTTCCAATACCTATCACCTATGTTAGACAGTCTGGCTCTATTCTAAACCAATCCAGAAGTGTCAGATCTCAGCACACCCCTCCAGGTGTCCAGAGTTGCCAAGGACCCTGCTGGGGGCTTGGAGACCCTGGCACGCAGCCCAAAACACCTGGGGATTTGATTTTAACCCGTGGAACAAATTACCAGCTTTGTATGAGGACCTGAAAGTCACAGAAGTTTAAATAGTATAATAATAAAATTATCACAGGGTGAAAATGTAGATTTTAGGATTTTTGGAATGGGGGTTTTGGGGACAAGATGGAGGAACTTGGGTGTGTCCAGCCTTTCTTTTTCTTCTTCTTGGTCTCCATTTTCTGCTGTGATGTTGGCACTTTGGGATTGGTTTAGAATAGAAGTGCACTGTCTAACATAGGTGATAGGTATTGGAAAGTAATTGTAAATATGTTATACAGAGGGATGTACTGAGTTCCGACACAGAAGTGTCACCATCACAGCAGAAGATGGAGGACAAGAAGGAGAAGAAGAAGGACAGGACATGCCCAGATTCCTCCATCTTGCCCCCTGAACCCCCATTCTAAATCCCCAAAATTCTACTTTTTCACCCTGTGACAAATTCACTATCATTCTACTCAAACTCTTGTGGCTTTTAACTCCTCACACAAAGTTGGTAATTGTTTCCATGGGCTAAAATCAAAGGCACAGGTGTTTTTGACTCTGTGCCAAGGTCTCTGAGCTCCTTCCCAGGGTCTCAAATCACCCAGGGCAGCCAGAGCAATGTCCTGGGTCCTGTCACATGTGCTGAGATGGACTGGGAGAGCACTGGGAAGAGATCCCAAATATCACAGTGGTCACCAGACTCTGAGCACCAGCAGGGAAAATGATGGGTGGGTGATTAGTTGGTGAAATGAGGCAGGAGGAGAGGATTTAGCCATCTAAAACTCTGGCAGTTCATTCAAAGTGTTGGTCCAAGTGGTTGGGTTGTTCTTGGGAGGTTCTCCTCCCTCATTAATGAAAGGAGGAGTCTGTATAATTAGCTGCCTCCCTCTTAGATCACCAAATGTCACTCTTTAGAGTTTGAGGTCTTTATCAGCAGATCTCAAGGCAGTGGATTGTTTTTCCCACTGTCCCCGTGAGACAGCAGAGAGTGACACAGTTGTGGAAGGGACTTCAGGTGGGAACTCTTCTGGAGGGCCAACAGGGACCTCCTGAGTGTCACCCACCCCCTCCACACCTTCCTCCCTGCACTAGAACTGCATCCAGCCCGTGTCTCACTAAGGTGATGCTGGACAGCAAAGCAAAATACCCCTGATGCACAACCAGAGTGCTGCAAACCCCCCTCCAACCTGAATGCTGCTGTCATATTATTAATATATGTCACTTTATTAATATATTTAATTTATGGAAGCATCTCCAATCCTCCTTACTCCCTTTATCTTAAAGAAAAGAGCAGTTACTCAATGTCCAGAGGTGCCCCCTTCCACTTTCTCCAAGGACATAAATGATCCATGAGGCCTTATTAATATTCATCCTCTTTGCCATGTTGTTGCAATTACTGAAAGACACAGTGACCTTTGGAAAGGAAGACTTGAGGGGGGTTAATTTCTGTTGGATTTCTTTAATTCTTTTGCCATTTGATTTTTTCAGGAGGAGGGAATAGGGAAGGAGGCAGGGGGAGGAGAAGATGTGGTGGGTCAAAAAGTGATTGTTAATTGCAATTAAGAAAACAGCATCCAGAGAGAAAAAGGATATTCCATCTGATAATTAATATGTAGAGATTGGTAATGCATTAATGAGGCTGATTCAGATCTTGCTATAGAAAGGTGCAACACTTCTGATAATTATGGTTGGAAAAGGCAACATTGCTGGAAGGTCAGGGAGAGGGGAATGCCTTGTGCCATCACTCAGAGGCAAAGAAAGGTAAAATTTGGAGCCTAAAATATTCTTGGAGAGGAAATTTGTGGCTGTCCACCTGGGGTTCTGGCTGATTTCTGTCAAAACAAGATTTTGGAGCAGGGAGTGAGGATGGTTGGGCAGGAATTGTTTGCTTTGATACCAAGGGAGGGAGGGGAGGCAGCTCTTTCTAAATCTGGGGATGAGGAGCTAAAAAAGAGATCACATTAGAGACATCAATATTTTTTTGTTAAGCTGCATGGCATGGCATGGATAAAATATGGGAAAACCAGTCACATAAGGAACTGGTTACCAAAAAGAACTGGTGCTACCCCTGAACCAAAGTGTCTGACAGTGACAGCACCACTTACCAGGGAACATGATAAAGATTATAGAGAGCTGGAAATCATTGTTTGAACCTCACTTAATTTAGTAGTGTAGACATTGACATCACACCTGGCTCGTGGTTGCTGAGCCAACCACGTGGACAATGCTTTGAAAAACGCGTTTGGTGGCACGTCACAAACAGAATTCCTGAAAACCCCAATGCCAATGTTATGAATATGAACGAGGCCAAACTTTCTCTGGAGAAAGAGGTTCTCATTTATTAAAATAGCTGCAAGGAACAGAGTACCCAGGATAAGCCCAAGCACCCACACAGCGAGCCAAAAACAGAACAGTGCGCTAACCACAAGTGCACTGGGTTCTCCCCAGAAAGCAAGGATCCAAAAAGAAGAACTTTGACCCAACTGAACTTCCTCCATTTATAGCGCCCTTCGAGTCCAGGATTGGTCCATTTTGGATCCGCATGGTGACTGGTCCATTTCCAGGCTTCTCATTGGTCTTTAACGCCGTTCATTCTAGACCAATCGTTTCTGCAGGGTTTTGAATGATGGTCAGATCTTCCATCCAATCCCTCTTCGACCTCCCTTTGCCCTGCCAGACTGCCCCTTCCACCAAACCCTGGATGCTTCTCCTAGAACATTCTAATAACCCTCTCCACTCCTAATGTAATACAATTAATATAACATAATTAATACAATAGAATTGAACTATACCCTAATTTAACATAACTTAACTTTTCCTTATAACACCAAGAGCTGCTGAGACACGTGAGGGACCCCTGTTTTTGTGTGTCCCTGCAGAAAACATGATCCGCTACACGGGCAGCCCCGACAGCCTCTTAACATAATACAATTAATATAATTAATACAATATAATTGAACTATACCCTAATTTAACATAACTTTTCCTTATAACACCAAGAGCTGCTGAGACACATGGAGACCCCTGTTTTTGTGTGTCCCTGCAGAAAACATGATCCGCTACACGGGCAGCCCCGACAGCCTCTTAACATAATACAATTAATAGAATTAATACAATATAATTGAACTATACCCTAATTTAACATAACTTAACTTTTCCTTATAACACCAAGAGCTGCTGAGACACGTGGGGGACCCCTGTTTTTGTGTGTCCCTGCAGAAAACATGATCCGCTACACGGGCAGCCCCGACAGCCTCCGCTCGCGCACCCCCATGATCACCCCCGACCTGGAGAGCGGCGTCAAGATGTGGCACCTGGTCAAGAACCACGAGCATGGAGACCAAAAAGAGGGTGACCGAGGCAGCAAGATGGTTTCTGAGATCTACCTGACCAGGTTACTGGCCACCAAGGTACGTGGTGAGGGCAGGGGACAAGGGCAGTTTGAGAGCGGGGTGGAATTTCTTGTCGGCAAGAAGTGAGAGGCCGCTCAAAGGATGCCAAAGTTGGGTGAAAAGAGAGGAATGGAAGGGAAATAAGCAAGGGGAGAGTTCTGAGCATGTGGGGAAGGAGATTGAGCTTTGGAAGCAGAGTCCAAAAAGAGACACTGGAAAAGCAAGGAGGAGTAACAATCCAGGGCCATGAGATTGGTGGGAAAAGCACAGCAGGAGGTGCTGGACTTGTCAAATATACTGGTTTGTAATTTGTACCAAAACTGAGCAAGTGAGGACCCAGGGTAGGTGCTCAGAGCAGGCTCCAAAGATGTGTCAGGCTTCACAGTCTGAAATGGCTCCTATATCACAAAATCCTGAGTTTTGTGGTACAAATCCTCCTCCACATTTTCCCTGGGCCAGTAAAGACTCTTGTGCTGATGACTTGGAGAGGGTTACATTGACTTTACAGTGAGACATGAAAACTCAGCATGCACAGAGAGAAAATACAGATTAAATCAAGCGGGGGCAGAGCAGGGACATCCTGACCTGAGTCTCCAAACACATCCATAACTTTTTCATTTTTGTCAGGTATTAATAGGCACAAACACAATTCCATGTGTTCACGCAAATGCTGCCTGAGTTTGCCCATCAGACACATTTCCATCACTAGTTTAAGTCCTACTTTCCAGATTTACCTGCTCATTTATTCCTCAGCTCATTTTGCCTCTGATGTCTGGCTCTCCCTGCAGCCTCACTCAGGCTGGCTGAGCTGCAGAGGGATTTGGAGGAAAGGCAGCTTTGTCTTTAGCCCCTGGTCCATGCCCCATTCCCTGGCATCAGGAGGCTTTTATGGATCACACAGCACGTGAAAAATGTTGAAAAAGGAAAGTGTTGCTCCCCAGGGCTCGGGCCCCAGCTGGTGTAGACCAGCAAGCATTGGACTGGTGCTGATTTATGTTGTCTGGGGATGCAGCCCCTACCCCACCACTGAACTGCTTTTGCTTTCTGTTCTGGGTCACAAACTCAACACTTGGGTTGGGTTTTTTTGTTGGGTGTTTTTTTTTATTGTTGTTGTTTTTTTTTGTTTGGTTGGTTTGGTTTGTTTTTTGTTTGTTTGGGGATTTTTTTTGTTTGTTTGTTTGTTTGTTTGTTTTTTGTGGTGATATCTGGAAAGCAGCTGCAAAACCTGCACAGCAACAGAAAGAGTAGGAAGGTTGGGGGTTTATTGTTTCCCCTCTTGGGCCGAGCAATTTTCTTTTCTCATTGTGACCATTTGAGGGAGGGAAGGAGAGAGAGCAGTTGCTGTAATACAATCCCCAGGAAGACTTCGTTAAACTGACAATGATTTTTATTCTGGTAAATCCCTGACCTCTGATACCCAAGAGCCTCTCCCCTAAAAGCCTCAAAGGCTTTTGTGGCATTTGTGAGGGTGAGCATGTAGAGAACTAATTCCCTGCAGGAACTGAACCTGAGAGCAGCTCTTCCATGTCAGACCAAGAGGATTCCCCCTCCTGAGCCCTTTCTGAGTCAGATGTGCTGCAGGGCTTTGTTCACCCTGCAGGAGCTCACACAAACAAAAGGTGCCTCTGTTTGTTTCCCAAAGAATAAATCAAGTGGTGAATCAGCCAGAGACACCAGCTTTCTAATTAAGTGTTTGTTAGCTCTAGGTAATCTTGAGTCACTCTGGTGGAACCCGGGGCTTTGTTTCTGGAAAGGAGACATTTCTTCCCTAGGCCCTTGGAGAAAGGGCAGAGCTGTATCTTGCAGGAGAGGAAGTTTTTCATATCAGGGAATGTTTGTTGGAGATTCAACCGATTTTTCGTTATTTTAGTGCCCTGCCTGGTTCCACCCCAAACCCAGCCTAGAACTCCTCAGCTGTCCCCTTCTCCAAGCCTGGCCACCCTCAGACATTCCAGCTCCTCTCCTTCCTGCTGAAAGTCAATTGTCCTCACAAGGGTGACTCCAAGCCCTCAGTCTGGGATTCTCCTGCCTGTGGGGAATAAAAGATGAGGAGGCCTCTTGGGAATGAAGTTTGTGTTATTTAGGACAGTGGTCACATATTAACCTCTCTAGGTTCTCTTGTCCTTTTTGTCTCTGCGACACCTTCTGCTGTGCTCTACAGCCTTCTACAGGCTTCTCTTCTCAGTTTAGATGGCCCTGAGTGAAAGCCAGCCTGGAAAATCACTGGGTTTTGTCTCATGGATGCACTAAAGCATTGAGGATGGGATGCAGAGAGAGGAATCAGTGTGGAAATGAGGTGTAATGGTTCTTGTGATGATAAATATTCCTGCTTCAAGACATTTGTATTGAAATTCTCAGGTCATGTCACATTTAACTGATATTAGAGAGCCCTCAATTTTCAATCACACCTTGGTTTATCTACAGACCTGCCCTGTTTTAGTGGGGTACCAAAATTCAACATCCTCTGCCCACTTTGTACCTCATGTTCTTCTTTCCTTCCTTCCTTCCTTTTCCCACCAGGGCACCCTCCAGAAATTTGTGGACGACCTCTTTGAGACCATCTTCAGCACTGCCCACCGTGGCAGTGCCCTCCCCCTGGCCATCAAGTACATGTTTGATTTCCTGGATGAGCAGGCAGACAAGCACAACATCCACGACCCCCACGTGAGGCACACCTGGAAGAGCAACTGGTGAGTGAGTGAGACAGCCCAGCACAGCCCAGCATGGACACTGGGCTGGAAGGAGACTAGAGGGAAGTGTGGTTGGCAAGAGCTGAGGACCCTGGTGTGGGGCTCAAAGGACGAGGCTCAGTTCTTGTCAAACCAATGGAGAAGTCAGAAGATCCCAAAATCTAAAGGATTAGCACTTTGGCTAAACAGGTCCCAGTTTGCCCTGTGTTACATGGAAATGGCAGGATTTGTGAGGTATTTGATGAGGAAAAATGAAGTTTTTAATTGTGCCCAGGCTCTGCATAGGAATATGCACAATATGCCAGAATATGCCCAGGCTCACATAGGAATATCTAGGGAGGCATGGGAGAGGATTCAACACCACTACCTTCATCTGCACTGGGTGTTTTAATTCCCAGCTCTATTTGTTTGCCCACACGAGAGAGGTATCGCAGGGCAGCTGAGAATTTTAAGGTATCCAAGACATCCTCAGAGTATGTGGAGCACCTACAGGAGATTTGTACCCTCCTGGGTAGAGGCCAGGAGAGCATCTCCAATGGTGCAAGGTACTTAAAGGGCCTGGAGCTGGATGTGAGTGTTCTTTGGAGTGAGTAACAAAGGGTGACATCAGTGGCAAAGTGTGACATCAGTGGCAAAGTGTGACATCAGGCCCCTGCTCCTCATCCCTGCAATGGGACAGTGGGAAAAGCCAGGATCGGTGGAGAAAATTCTCCTTTCTGCTGAGTTTCCCGGTTGGAAAGAGCTCCCTGGGGAATGGCTCCCTCCCCTTCTCCTGTGCAAACACAGGGACTATAAAAGGAGCAGCAGAGGAGAGCCGTGGGGCTCCCAGCTCATGCATTTTTTCCTTTTCCCAGCCATGCAGTTGGCAGATCGTCACAGCGCCGGTGACATAAAAAAAGAAACCCCATGCACCAAAGAGGCTTTCAACTAATGAAACATTAGCATATTATTAACATTATCTGCGGCACTAATCTAAGGCTGATTGCAGCCACTCAGCCTAAATGAGCAGGAGGTTTATTTAAGGGGGGAGGGGGGAAGGCAGAGTGTGTGTGTTTGTGGGAAAAGGGGCAGTGTGAAGAAATCTGTTCAATCAGATCAAATTAACTCAAAGTCACATCACAGGGCTCTGTTATTCCCAGCCAGGGACATGGTCCCCTCTCCCCTCCCCACAGCCAGGCACACAAACACACACTCTGCTCCTCACCAAACACCTGCACAAGGACTTGTGCAAGGTTCACCCATCCACCTCATCCCCCCAGTGATGATTCTCCATTCCCAGCCTAAATTCCCACAACTCCGTTGTGTCTCATTGCCCTTTTTTCCTTATTCTTCCCTGAGGCCTTGTGGGACAGGCTGTCCAGAAAAGCTGTGGCTGCCCCATCCCTGGATTGTTCAAATCCACGTTGGATGGGGCTTGGAGCAACCTGGGATAGCAGAAGGTGTCCCTACACCTGGATAATCTTTAAGGTCTCTTCCCACCCAAAGCACTCTATAATTCTGTGTTTTCCAGCATCTCCCTCTTCTCCTGAACTTGGCTGACCAGATTCCCTGTGTGGGGCTTTCCTTTACATTTGTTCTGTGATTTTGCTGCTCAGGAGAACACACAGAGTTTTAGGAAAACACGGTGTCAACCCTCTGTCAGGAAGGTTGTTACCCAAAATCCATCAGGCTTGGAGATGAGTTTTTTACAGTGTTGTGAATGCAATGAGCAAATGGGAGGAACTGGGGAGTTTGTCCTGGATATCAGGAGAATTTGCTAAGCTGAAATGATGCAGAGTGAAGGTAGATTTAGAAATCTGCCTGAGAAAGAGACAGGGGCTGGGCTCTGTGCTCAGTGACACATCCCAGCTCCTGGGCCTGATCACTGCAGTGCATCTGCCCTGACAAAAGGCTCCAGGCAAAGGCTGGTACATGTATGAGATACATGTACCTCAGGGCATCTCATACAAATGAGCTGCTCTTTGGAGAAAAAGGGGGAAAGGGGCTTTGGATTGCAACTGGAATAACATTTCCTTGGTTAGGGCAGATATATTTTCATATCAAAGGCTGTGATACTTGTTTCCCAGCTCCTTTTTTTTTTTTTTCTCCTTGAGGCAATGGGGCTTTCCCTGTCATGTAGCAACTGCTTCCTGCTCAGGGTACTGGGATCTTGTGCAGACTTGGGCTGGAGCAGCAGAGAGTGACAGGACATGGTGTCCTAGCACACAGGGTGTGCCATGAGCAATTCCCAGTCTCCACCTGAGAGCTCTACCTACCTTTCTTCCCATGGGATTGCTGTGAGGGCTAAAAGCCAAGTCCCTCAATGACAAATGTGTAGAATCCCAGAATGGTTTGGGTTGGAAGGGACCTTAAACTCATCCAGTGCCACCCCCTGCCATGGCAGGGACACCTTCCACTATCCCAAGTTGCTCCAAGCCCTGTCCAAGCTGTTCTTGGACACTTCCAGGGATCCAGGGGCAGCCACAGCTTCTCTGGACAGCCTGTTCCAGTGCTTTATAACCCACACCATAATAATTTTTGTGGGTTCAATGCCTGTCTTCATGTGATGGAGCAACCAACAGGGTCAACTTTCCATTGCAACTTAACACAGAGAGATTCAGAGTGTTTGTCATCATCACCTAAATTTTACTCCCAATAATTTATGGGCACCTTCAACAAGATTGTATTAAGACTGAGAAAAATCTGCCTTGTAAGGATTACAGGGACAAAAGGTGATGTCTCCACCATCCCTAGGCTTGGTAGGGGAGGGATTCTTTTCATAGCAATGTTTATCCCAGAATCTTCATATCCAGATCCAGAGTGTTTGTCATCACCTAAATTTTACTCCCATTAATTTACGAGCACCTTCAACAAGACTGTACTGACTCGAAGACTCACAAAATCTGCCTTGTAAAGATTACAGGGACAAAAGGTGATGTCTCTACCATCCCTAGACTTTTTAGGGGAGGAATTCATTGCATAGCAAAGTTTATCCCAGAATCTTCATATCCGCAGTGCGATCTTTGATCCCCACCCTCCATTTGCTGCTGAGGTGTCTCCTGTGAGCCGTGCCCTGACTGTGTCCCCTCTGCCACCTCTCCTGCAGCCTCCCCTTGCGGTTCTGGGTCAACATGATCAAGAACCCCCAGTTTGTGTTCGACATTCACAAAAACAGCATCACAGACGCCTGCCTGTCCGTGGTGGCTCAGACCTTCATGGACTCCTGCTCCACCTCAGAGCACCGCCTGGGCAAAGACTCCCCCTCCAACAAGCTCCTCTACGCCAAGGACATCCCCAGCTACAAGAACTGGGTGGAAAGGTGAGTTTCAGCTATGGAATTATGTCGATTCTTTATCTTATTTTTCTGCCTGGGTCAGGGTCGGGATTAAATGCGCAAAGACGGCATTTCGTGTTGGGACTCAGATGTTGATTAGTTCTTATCTGTGTTACAGTCTCACAAGCTGTGAGTTCTATGGTACTTAAACAAGGCTACAAAATGGTCCCATATCTATCTCTACAAGATCTTTTAAGGATAAACAGTCCAATTAAAAAATTACACCTACATTATTTTCACTTTTAACCCAATAACCAAATAACCCATGCCTGCAATGTGGACTTTTTTATCCAATTACAAAAAACTACCCAAACCCATGGAGAAAAAGGACCAGCCACCACCCCAAAACCTCCATCTTGCTTTATATCTATTACTGTATTCTAAACCCTTAAACTCTAGGTTTCCCACCCTGTGATCTCACACACTTCTGTTCAAACTGCACACCCACAATCCCAGTTCCATCATTCCATTCTGGAAGCTTCTCCACAGCCTCGGATCAAATGCAGGGTTCTCTTGGGGGTCAGTGCCTGGCAGCACAGAAATCTCCAATTCTCACCATCCAGGGTTCCAACAGAATGACACAGAGTGACACAACCAAGCTCTGCTTTGTGGGTGGAGGTAGGAGGCAGCATCACTGTTACTTTTGGAAACTGCCCCTGGGGCTTTTTGTCTTTGGCTTTTGCTAAGGGGAAATCTCCACCTTAGCCTTTTATTCCTCCACCTTGCAGCAGAGATGAAATTTAACTAATGGTGGGAGCTGAAGGTGTTTGCCATCATTGTTTCCTTTGAGGAGAAACTCTTGAGAAGTGGCAGAGGGAGGAAGGAAGGGGAGGTGATGTGTGTGAGCCCTGGGAAGCACCCAGGCTTCCCAGCCTTTCCACACAGGCCTGGAGTGGTTTGCTGCTCTCAGCACCATTGTGACAGTCCCCACACTGCCCAGATCCCAAGGGATTCATAATTATCCCCCAGCAAATTCCCTTGGAGGCTCTTCTGTGCCTTGAGTGAGATGCCAGACAATTGACAGGCTGCTGACTGAAGCTCTGCAGGTATTTTATGTCAGGTCAGAGGTCTTTCCAAGCATTTTGTCCACACTCCCAAGACCTGTGGCTGTACTTCCTCTGCTGTACCAAAGCAGAGGTGCCTGGCAAAGCTGCTCCACAGGGAATACAACCAAAACATCTATTCCTGCAGCATGCTGGGGCCCCGTTTTCCATAGGGTTTCCCCCAGGACAAGCAAACAGCTCATCCTGTTCTTCATCCAGCAGGAGCTGGGCTTTGCTTTCCAATATTCTGCCCTTGCCCGGTGTTATTGACAGGTTTGGGAACTGCACAGATGGGGAGCAGTTGCTGCTCTGTAAATACAAAGGCGGGTTTATCCCACAGATCATTCCTGTGCACTGCATCCAGCTTCCAGCCACGATTTCCTCTGGATGACTTCCCAGGCATGGCCTAAAGTTGACACCATGTCCTGCAGGCTGTACAAGGCCTCTGCTGCTGCAGACTCCTTACGCTGTGCTATAAATCCCTGTGTTGCCTTTGCTGGGGATGATTTTCTCTCGTTTTGTGACAGGAGTGTGGCTGATCAAAGAGCTCCGTCCCCTACTCGGCACGAGGCAGCTTTTTTTCCAACAATTCTCCCATTGGTCTGTGATTTGTCTGGACAATTATTTTTAGATGTGGTTAAACACTTCAGCAAATGTCGTTTCCAGGCAACCTGCAAGGCTCTTATGAGCTACCTTGCTTAATTATGACCTACTTTTGGTACCGTGTCCAAGTTTCTTAGAATGTATTGAGGCTGATTGCTGGATTGACCTGGATAATGGGAAGCAAGTGTTGGAGGTTCCATTTAGAAATCAAGTTTGCACCAACAGTGACCCAAAGGTGTCATTCTCTAGTGATGCTTTAGCAACACTCTGTGTGGTTGGGCTGTTTCTGAAGACAAATAATGTTTTTCATCTCAAAGTGGTTGATTTTATCCTGGGAGATGCTACATTTGAGTGACAAACTGAGGTATTTAAGTGGAGGATAGGATATTTCCTTATGCAACAAACACCTTTTTTTCCTCTTTTTTTCTCTTTTCCCTCTGGATAAACAAAAAGCTGCAGTTTCCATTTTGGTTATTTTTTTTCCAGTATTGATTTCACTTTACAACTTTTTGGAGCTTAATCCTGGTGCCCAGTGATCTTCAGCAATAGGTGCTGCATTTCCTTGGAAGTTTTCCCAAACAACTGGGTTTGCAAACGAGGTACATAACACCTCCTGCTGCTTGTAAACAGCCCTGGATTCCTGTCCCCAGCATGTGCTGGGTTGTTATCTGCACTGATGTCTGACAACTTGAACTGAAGCCCAAGGGGAGACTGCAGGTTTTGGAATATGGTTAGAGCTTCCTCCCTGCTTTTATTTTTGTGTGTCAGTTCCACTGACTCAAGGCAGTGGCACCTGGATGCTGTGGGAGATGAAAGAAAAAACCTATCAGGGATGAATAAAATATAATTTGAGTTCTACCCCGAGCTAATGAATTCCTTCTCTCCGTTCTGCAATTGTGCTTTGAGGGAGTTTTTCCAAATCCAAAGGCTTCCAGTGCTGGTTGGAGCTATTTCTGTAGTCAGCATCAGCTGGAGATGGCATCCTTCAAGACCACTAGACTTCTTCAAGGAGTGAATCAGGAGATAAAAAGTCAGAGAGTTTAAGAAGTGGTTGAGTAAATCAGAAAAACCTGAAATCAAACAAACTTCTTTGACAAAGAGGAAACTCTAAGAGGGTAATTAGTCAGTGGTAGATTGTGCCCAACTTGAGGCACTCTGGATTAAAATATGCCTGGATTTAGAGGTCTGGAAATGGAGCTGAGCTGGGTTACTCAAAGCCATCTCTTTTTCTTTCTTTCCTTTCTTTCCTTTCTTTCCTTTCTTTTCTTTCTTTTCTTTCTTTTCTTTCTTTTCTTTCTTTTCTTTCTTTTCTTTCTTTTCTTTCTTTTCTTTCTTTTCTTTCCTTCCTTCCTTTTCTTTCCCTTCCTTCCTTCCTTCCTGGAATCCTTCCTTCCTTCCTGGAATCCTTCCTTCCTTTTCTTTATTTTCTTTGTTTTCTTTCACCTTTAGGGCTCACAAAACTCAGAGCAGGGAATGAGAAGGAGGGCATGAGAAGGAGGAGGCAGGGATGAAAGAGCTTCCCTCCAATCCTTCAAATATTTGTTTTCCACCTGAGATTGTGCCTTGGGAAGGGAATAGTTGCAGCTTCTGGCCTCATCAGTGGTCTATGTCCACAGGGTGGACAACTGGAAATTTTATTCCAAAAGATTTCAACATCAAGAATCTTCAGTGTTTTTATTTGTTTGTTTGGCTCATGTTTTAGCGTGGGTTTTTCTCATGTTTTCAGTTACTTCTTTGTGGTGAGTCAAAAGTTGCCTTCAGAATTGGGATGCATGACAATGACTAATTAAGAAATTTTAAAATTTACCAATTTTTGTAATTTCCTGTTGACCTAATGGAAAACTATATAAGAAATGGACATCTTCCATGACATTTTGGGAGCTCGGTTGTTTTAGTGCCCATTTCTATAATTATTCCAGATGAAGGATTTGCTGACAACAGCAACAAAAAAAAAAATTGTGCATCAGTTAAATTTAGTTGAAGATTCTCCCTGCTCATTGCAGAGGGGTTGGACTAGATGACTTCTAAATGTCCCTTCCAACCCAAACTATTCTGTGATTTTTTGAAAGTCCTTTTATAACATTGTTGGAAGCAGAGGTGGACTCTGCCTGCTGAAACAATCCAGCTGAGAAATTCTGGCTTTTGGGAAAAAGCAGGTTCCCTGTTCAAATGAGACACAGAGAGCTGGAAACACGTGGTTAAAAAGTGTCCTGGTGCAGGCACATCTTGGATTTCCTGCTGCAGAACACGAGGCCTGATGAGGCAGGACAATTAACCCAGGAAATTGGGACAGGCTATTTAGCTTTTGTTGAAGCCACCACGAAGAGTCAGGCTGTAGTTCTAAAACAAAGTGGAGGCTTTTCAATTATCATTTAAAAAAAAAAAAAAAAGGAAAAGAATGGTAACGATAGAGCAGAATCTCATCTGACTTCAGTTAGTAAAACTCCATAGGCTCTGCTGAATTTACATTAGAGCAGCTTCAGATCTGCATCTTTTCAAGTTTACTTCAAATGTCCCCTTTGAGCCTGGAAATCTGGAGAACTTGGGAGCATTTGATGCAATCCCCAAGCAATACAAAGGGGAGCCTGTTCTAATTGGGACTGTCTCATTAGCATTCAACACCACACTGAAAAATGACAAAGGGCTGTGGCTGACCTTTCATTTCTCTCCATGCTGCCAAGCTTATGATAACACTTGTTTGAACTTCATTAACACCATTTAATTGCCTGCATCACAATCAATATGATGTTTCCCTACTGAAGCCTGGCACGGAGGCAAGGATGTGGGAGACTGAAAAGGGGCAGAGCACAAAAAGCAGAAGTCAAAGAGTTTTTCCATTTCACACTGGTGCCCAAAACACCTGCAGGGCTGCAAGGAGAGGATCTGGTGCTCGTTTTTTTTTTCCTCATCCCTGCAGAGACTTGGTCTCCTTTTGGCTGCTTATTTTGCATTGAAAAGGGCCCCTCTAAGAAAAACTTAAAGGAGACATCACAAGTGTTCTTAACTTAGGAGTCATCCAATGAAGACCATTCAAAATACATTTGACAGATTCAGCATCAAAAGAAGCCTAAAGTGATCAGATATGTGGGATTCAGAATTAGAACATTTGCATTTCATTGTGTTAACCTGGGTGCAAACAGTGCCTGACACAGCTGGTGCTACTCCTGACGCCATGATCCCATCTACCTTTTATCCTTACAAGTACAGATACTTTTAGGATAAGGGGGAACAGTTTTAAACTACAAGGGAGAGATGTAGGTGAGATTTTTGGAAGAAATTCTTTACTCAGGGTAGGAAAGCCCTGGCACATGGTGCCCAGAGCAGCTGTGGCTGTCCCTG